TCAAAGAGTCGTACACCTTCGTGTTATTTATTTGAGTATTAGCCAGTGCAGGAAATCTCATTCTTGAGGTGTTTACCAAACAGGATATACAGAAGTGGGTCTTAAAGTACCACCAAAAAAGGGACCTAATGCGAAACCCATTTCGTCAGTGAGAAGTCCTTAAAGAAGCTTAAACATTGCAAGAGTCACAGATATTTTAGTTCAAGTTGTTTCCATGTATGTGTGGGTCTTCGTGTGCATTTTGCCTTGTTCACAAATCAGCCAGCTTGAATCAATGAAGAGGCGGTCCTTGCAACTAATTTAAATAAATAAATGCAAATCAAAACTTGAACTCATTTGTGAATAGGATAGATGTAAATTAATTGTGGATAAACGTCATAATTACGGTTTTCTCTCAAGACAAAGCCATGCTACAGAGTGCATCTTTATTCTGAGCATGACATAGACCGGTGAGCCTCTACTTGCATCGTGCTCCAGTATGTCTGCTTGTGAAAACCCTTCATGTAACAATGCACACAAACCTTTACCGTACATTTGTTTTCTTGTGGGGTATCTCCTTTGTTGTCATGTACAAAACGTTAGCGTATGAAGACTGTCCTTCCTGGGTTACAGTGTCGACCAAACGTCCCTTATGTAAAATAATTCATTTGTTCGACGGATAAGTATACCTTGGAAATTCCTCCTCAGTAAATTCCAAAAATGTATTTCGTGTGGGGTACCGTTTCAGTACCCCACAAATACGACGAATATCCATCGTGGGGGACTTCCTTTTGTTCTGGTACCCCCACAAGGCATCGTAAACGCATACTGGAGGAGTTGAGTGTATACTGTTGACGTGATTATGATACTTTAAATGATTCTGTGAACCCGGCGTTTGGGTGCATATCATTTTATTGGAAATAAATGGTCGATAGGGTGTGTGAGAGATAATATATCTTGATGTGATCGTTTGCTCTTTATCTGTGCAAAGGGAATCGTCAGACCTCAAGCATTACCAAGTCCGAATGTGCGCAAAATGACCCATTTACCGGGCGCCGTGCCCGCAGGGGGCAGGTGTATCATCGCGGCCTTGTGCGTCGTACCCACATGCTGCATATATGCCCCTCGCGTGCCTCGTCTGAATGAAATTCCGCCAAAAATAAAGGCCTGCTGCTTCGGTCCACGCAGTTCCTGGCAGGCAAGCTGCCTTGCGGCGTGCCGCTCAGAAAATACTCCGTTCTATTTTGCTCAAGATCTGGAAAAAAGGACCCAATTTGGAAGTTTGTTCAAAACAATCTATTTCTTTAAGGCACTAGCCTTCGGTGACTGCGATATTCTTGCCCCGCCAAAACACAGTAACTCAACCAACCTCGTTGCCTTGCTGGTATTGTTTTCCTTACAACTGGACCTTTTTGGCAAATCTGCTTCGATTACAGCCTCAGAGACGATGACATTAAACAAAAGGTGTCGCCCTTGTCTCGGGGCTATGACGTCATCCGTACTTTGAACCACTTCTTGCTCCCCCAGTCATTGCAGGGATGTTATTTTTGTTCCGATTGCCCTGGAGTCATTACCGGTACCGTCATGCACAGCTTATTCAAACATCGATTTAGAGCGCTTGCGATATCCCATCTGCTCTGCGCCTGGCTCACCGAGGGCGCCCCACACGTCTGGAATGACGAACCCGGATTCCCGGTAACTACTTCTGGTTTTACGACCTAGCTATTCATTTCTCTTCGCCAATTCAATTATGTGACTCGAAAAAGTCCCCATTTTCTACATATGCCATATAAATGAATTTGGCAAAAATGCTTGCTTAAGGACAAGTTAGTGTTGTCAACCAACACACCCACCATGACCGAAGATTACCGGTAGGATACTAAACTTGAACACATTAAAAGTAGCTTTCTGCAGGTTGTACTTAACACCAACGAATCAGAGTGTATACAACTATGATGACCATATCTCAAGTGGTTTAGGGTAATTAAACAGGTTGAAGAAGGTATACCTGGTTGTAATCAAAAGGGACATACAGTTTGCAGGTGCATGGACGCGTCCCGTTATAAAAATAAGGTCAGATTTAGCACACACGGCGGGTTAGGAACGGCTAAGGTGCCGGGCAAGATTGAGCCTTGTGCCCCTGGCACACGTCCATAAGGTGTCAGGGTGCACTTTCAACGCCACAACCACAATAAGGCCGTACCGAGAACAACGTGCCTCACAAATGAACCAGTCCTGTCCTCTATAATAAACAAAATTGACAGGTCCAATAATTGAAATGCCGGCTGCATATTACGCCAACATATTTTTTCCACAGAATGTAAAGATCAACATTCAAAGTGTCTTACGGGGGCGTATTGCTAGCGGTATGAGTCGAAGCCGTTGCCTATAATTGTCAAACTGGAATTTATTGGAAAAGTGGGAGGACAGCTACGCCCACTCCTGCCACTGGCGTATCTATGAGGTTTCGCAAGGTGTTAAAATGAAAAAGGCTTAATTGCTGGTGTGTACCCAAATTACCTATAAGATTAAAATGTGGACGTCGTCTCCCGATTTCTTAAAGGCCGTCGCAAAAAAGAGAAAAACGTACGGCATCATTGGAAACCAACTCAAACAAAATAAAAGCAAACAAAACGTCACCGAGCAAAACAACCACTCCTTAAAGATAAGCATTATAGTTGTTGACAGAACATGACAGAAATTACTTTCAAAAATGATAAAGTACTCTTCGAGAAATCTTCCTTGCAGAGGGTTTGTTGTTGCAAATAATTTAGCCGTATTTCAGAAAACCTTGTAGATTAGTGTCTTTCATTGGTGAGGGTTCGTCGAGGGTGAAATTCATCAGAGTAGCTCATTTCTACACTCTATGAAAATGACTATACCGTGGCCAGCGGTCTCGAAGCGGCGCGTGCCGGGCACGTTTAACACGGGGGCGTCACTCTCGGTAGATGGATAGATCGATATTGGTAATTAACCCTAGGTTAGGTTGAGGCAGGGTTGTCTGCCCTTCGTGAATGAACTCAAAGAGCTTGATCGATTTTAAGTCTGGTTGCCTTATTGTTCTTGGGGATTCCGGAAGAGAGGTCGACTGCCCATTAAATGGCCAAAATGGAGTGTGTGTGTGTGTGTCCAAGTCAGTGGGTATTCTGAGGGTCGTACAATCAGTAGCCACAAACATGCATCAACTTAAAATTAATGGGAAAAACAGCAACGACGATAACGTACTTATCTTTGACTTAGTCTTTTCAGCTGCAAACTAGAGAAAACAGAACAAGTTTATTTTGACCACAAAGACAACTTTGGTTTGTTAATTTTTCTTTGTTGGGAGATTGTTCTTTTCTAAAAATTTCTAAGAAAATTTCCTCGGAATTAATCAAAACGAGTTAAAAAGACTGCAGTTCAACAGAATAAAACCGCTATGACACAGATTTGAGTTTGCAGAGATCTCCACTGTGTCTGTGGGACTCGTGAACATAAAGAGTGAGTGTAAAACTAATGGTGTGGCTTCCCGTCTGTGACAGCTTTGAGGAAGAAAATTAATTGAAATATGGTAAATGCCAGAGAGAGGTAAGACATATCGCCGTGGACTCGTGTCGAACCTCGCCACCAGGTGCCGTGATTTCCTCAGTGCGCTCGTAGAGTCCAAATCTTTGACACCCAAGAACAATTAATTACACGGAAATTAGCGTGCACCTGCTTGTGAACGTACGCAAACGCCCCGCTAAATACAACGCAGGTTTTATAATCTTGCAAACAGTGGAGAAAAGGGATATTTGATTAGTGCCATTTGGGCGAATTTAAATTTCATGGCATAAAGGTGGTGGAAGTTCGTATGATGTAATGAAGCATCGTGCAGGTGCTGGACCATAGTTTGTCACGTTTGGTGACAGCCAAGTGTCACGCTAGTAAACAGTGACGTAGAAAAACCGTCTGCTGGTCTGCCACCTCGGTATTCTCCCGTCGATTTCGATGGCAGACCCCAACAACGATACGAAGACTTGTATTTTAATAATCATCGATCTTTTTTTTTTTCCTTGGATTTTTTTTTTTTTTTTGCTGAGAATGTCGAGGTGGGAAGCGGAGGTTGAGGACTGCATCCAATGCACCCCACGTAGGGTCAAGTGGCAAACTGCATGAGGGCATCGATGTCATAAGTTACGCGTGCCAGAATATACAACTAAACCGCTTGACCCGGCAGAGCCACTATTAGATGGGCAATTGTTAGGGCGCCCCCTGCTGTTTGCATCAATCGCTTGCCGAGATGATGCTAGAGGTGAAAACAGTCGTTGAAGATGATCAATGCGTTTGTCTGCGCAAGGGTGTCAAGAAGGGGGTCTCGTTTAGCTCGTTCATTGCAGTTTACCCTTTTCGCCCTCTTGAACATGACCTCATTCAAGGGAGATTCTCCAGGCCTATGCTAGGTTGTACCATTGTTTGATGTACACTCGCGCCGAATGGAAACAACGGTAGACAAGATATCTTTGTGCTCCAAATCGTGTTAGATAAAATATTGTGACTAGTTTATTGCGTATACTGTAAAAACGTTCAAAACACATCAACAAACTTGCAGAGAGTAAGGATCATGAATACAGTTGTTTTATTACATTAAAGAAACAACGCTGCTTCGTCGCCCAATGCAACTAAACAGATCATTCTCTTAAACCGAGTTCAGGCGACTTGTTCTCGTTGGTTCACTAACAGGTAGGTCGATTAGTTGATTGACCCGATCGTTGCTGGTAGTTAGTAGCAAGTGACATGCAACATGGCGGCGTCCATGTACGTTATGCGAGAGTTAATGTTTGGATAACTGGGCTGGATTCTTTTCTATTTAAACAGGAACATTCATTTCTGTGTTACGGAAAATAATTAATGTTAATTCTGCTTAAAGTCTCATTTTCTCACTTTGTGAGCAATCTCACTACTTTTTGCAGCTGTTCATAAGTCAAAATCTCATGAGTTTTAACTTTTTCCGTGTCTTCCTGTAAAACCCTGACGATGCGCTGGTGTGTGATCCTGCTCCGAGAACAGTGTTCTTGAGTCGTGTTGCCGCCGTTCGAGTGCGAGAGCAAGAAACCTGTGTCAAGAACAGGCCGCTCAAACTCGACCTTAGGTTACGTAAAAGAAGTATGGGGTAGACATGTTGAGCGCCCTCATTAGCAAATCGCGAGATAGAACTCCAAAGATTTATTGTGAATTTTAAATGCTTGTTGAATGACATAATTATATCGACAAATTAGATAGCGGCAATTGAAGGTTTACAATAGTTAACATACGTTTAGCATAATACCACTTCTAATCCGTGTAAAACAGGCAGAATCACGATACGCTTGTAAACTTAGAATGTACAGTACATACCAAATACGGTTTGAATATTGTGTAAAATGCGAGACAAACAGTTTAACATGTACATTTAACGTTTAAAATGTATAAAATATCAACAATTTATATTACAAGTTTGTACAGTGATGATTTAAAAGCAAGTTAGCGTGTCCTTTCCTTTTTCCAGTGTACATGGAGGTTGATCTTTGCATGTCACTGAAAGTATCCGTGGATTTATTGGTGCACTGAACGCCACGGCTGACCATGTGCCATTTGAACAACGCCCTCTAGCTTTCAACGTTTCCTTATTGTAAGGCTCCCGTGTTATTAGAAAAGTTAAACCAATTTCCAAAATGCCGACTAGAAATGGTTCATTGCAAAGCTGTTGGGCGGTCACTGACGTAATACAGAGGCACCAAAGTAATTTAGGTATGAGGCCGATAGAGTGTTTTTAAAAATGCTTTTTCGTTTGCCCCAAAATTGTGGAATTCTCCAAAGTATCAGAAACCGGATGTGTTTTCATTTCAGGGTAAGACAGCGGTAATCACATCCAGCGATAGTCACGGAGACGATGATATAAATTATTCTCAAATGTGAATGTTGTAACCAGTTTGCGACCTTGCAGAATGGCGCCCTCATTGTGCCAATACATATATTACTGTTTTTACATAGACAAGTCTCCCCCCCTTGCCCATTACTATCACTTGCAGGTGTGTATGTCCACCGTTCGCCGGCAGGTGTTACACTTGACGTAACAACACCAGTGAAACTTACAGCTGCATCTCTCCACGATCACTTCTTCCCGGGTGTTGAATCCCCGCCCACAGCAGAGGAGCTCACAGCCGTCGATGCCCTTGGAGGTCTTGTTGCAGCGGCGTCCGTGGGTTCCCAGCGACCCCATCTTCAGGTCTCTCTCGCAGAAGTCGGGCGAGGGGACCAGGTAGACCAGGTCGGACTCTGTGTGAGGCTTGAAATTCTCGTTGACTGGAACCTGAAGGGCGGAGAAACCAAGATGTCGACCAAGATTGGTAGGTGCTAATGACAAATTTCCAACAGCAGCGAATTCTGCTTGATTGTGGCTCGTGCAAAATGTCACAGAAATTTACCGAGTCATAATCATGATTTAAAAACCTGCACAATCCTAAGAGGACGTGTCAAAGCCACTCACCTGAAGTATACATAAATTGAGTTTTGACGTAAAACTCGTCTCCAAGCAGAATGTATTTTTTTTAAACGACAGCGCCCCCTTTTAACTAGAATAAGTTCAAGATTTTTCTTGAACGAACGTCAAGTCACTTGGGGGCGGTGTGTAGAGTCAGTGGACGCCAGTGGATTTTCAACAGACAGATCAGTTCACTGATGGGGCTCCAACAACTTAAAATAAAGCCCTCTTGCATTGTCTTTCTGAAGTTATATAAACGTACCTCCGTGGGTTTTTTTACTTTAGCATCTGTGCGGCATTTTGACAATCGACTTACCAGCTGTCTTCTTGATGCAATTCGCCGCATAACCACCTCCGTGGCCCCATCAAATTTCTCCTTCAGTATAGTCCCGATCTCCTTGAAGGGTGGCATGGCCCGCCAGCATGTTTTCATCTCACACGACCCAGATACGCCATGGCATTTGCACTGTACCCTCATGTTCTTCTCAATGGCCTGATAGGATTGAGTAGAGAAAAGGTTACCAGGACAGTGTTGGATTAAAAGCGAGGCTGAACTGGCAAACTGAGCTGTTTGAACCATTCTTACCCAAAGGGCCTCGCGATTGCACTTCTGTGGAAATAGCGGTAACTAGGTCAAAAGTTACTACTGTCCCAATTTTCAGAGCATTCTTCCTGTTTATTGTTAAGCATTACAACAAATACATCTTTCTGGTTGAAAATTTCGAGAGAACAGCTGACAGACCTTCATTTTCCCCTAAGTGGAGGGATGTAAATCAGATATGTATCCCTAATTCGAGCAAACTATCACTTTCATTGCTTGAATTCCTTGCTGTGTAAACAACATTAATGTAGGCGTCAGACGAGATGTTTCGTCAAACCAACGTGGCATTGACTCAGATGGCCTCCGGCGGAAGCCTCGGGCCGACTTTGCGCGCCGTAAAGCTGTCGCTTTCAACCGACTGAAATGTTAAACACTGCGTGACGGAGGTCACGTAATTTACGATTCCACCGGCCTTTGAGTTCCTGCACTGCATCATATTCCCCTTTCCGTTTCAATGACGCATAGAACGTTAAAACAAAAAGGATGCAGGGAATGGCGGTGTCTATTGCCGTGAGACGACCCTGCCTGGGAAAAAAACGCCACCGCGCACTCTGGTCCAGAGGGGGCCGTAAATCCTCGAGGTCTTTCAGCAAATTCCGAAACGTGTTTGATGACGAAACCGCAGCGAGCGGAGGAACACCACACGGTGCAACAGCGCCATCGCATCTCACAGCGGCCTTCGCGATTTTATGTTGTTATTGCATCATAAAACCCCATCAAGCAAATGGGGAACGAAAACTGTTGCATCAACTGCTGGGTTGTTTGTGTCTGAAAAGCTGTTATGTCCCGTTGCCTGCTTCGTCATCAAAATATCATCAGGTTCTTCCAAGAAAAGGTTGCATGGGCCAAGTTGATTGTATTTTGCCTGAGTTGTAGTTTAAAGCCCTTCTGTATAGATCGAGGTAGATTGGTTATGTCTGTTGTCCTCACCAGAATTCAAGTAACAGCCACATTCTACTTTTTTAATTCTTGTCGACTTTTCTGGCCCATTCGCCTTTCACTTTATACTTTTATGTGGCACGAAGGCCTCTTCCAATCAAAAGCTTGGTAAACTCCTTTAACCCGTGTTCTTCCTTCCAGTAATTTCATATAGAGAACGCTTACACTTTGATTCGAGGTTTCATGCTAAAAAAAAACCCACAAATGTCGCTTTTTGATGAGGTCGTTTGCTTCGAAGCACTCAACGGCTATTTCCGGTCACGCGTTCTTCACGACTGTACTTACCAATCGACCTGCTTCATTGTTGTGAAGATTCATTAGTTGCCTCTCGGTTGATGTGCGACCTTTGCGCTCTCTGGCGTCCACAAACGTCTTTGAAAACATCATCCCTACAGTAAACAGCCACCGAATGTTAAGAAATGAAATTTAAAGAATATTTTAAAATATGAGCGACGCATAATAGAAATGGAAAAGTTCTTTGTCTGCTAGTCGAGCATTGTATGATTAAAATCAGGTGCCAGTAAATGAAAATCAAGACTTTTTTTGATTGATCACAACGACAAGGGCAGTATTTTCGGGAAACCGTTTGGGGCTACCAAATCGGTACACTCGACCACTTACCATAATTGACATTGTCGGAGCACCCTGACCAGGTGAAGCCCTCGTCGCTGGTACCCGTCACTGTTCTGTCGCATCCACATTTCTGCAGGTAACCACTGCTGCATGACCTCGTGACCTCGTAACTCACTCCTGCCGCTGAGATCGAATGAACGAAGGCGGCTTCTCTCGTTCCTAGGAGTTGAAAATGAATAGAATTTATTAAAATGCCGGTTTAATTCCTCGAGCTAAGAGGCTAGCATTCTGTACGCGTTTGGTTGGAAATTATAGTCGCAAATATTCACCCTGTAAGCATAAGTTCTAGTAAAAGTGTGTCGTCATTGGCTTTCGTGAGTGACCTGCCACTTAGATAATAAGTGGCCATATTATTGTTAAGTTTCTGATAGGTTATTCATTATGTCACCGTCATCGATGTAAACAATATACCCCCAGTTTCTATTCATTTTTCATTTATATTCATTCCACGGTCCAATCACACTTGTCCGTGAACACGGTAGATCTTCTAGTTTGGGTCGTTATGGCGTCATTCCATTTCAAATGCGTACCCTAGCTGAGTAGACACGTTTGGTAAACTGTTTCCTGTCCGAATCTGTCATACAGAATACATTAACAAGGACTTGAGGTGTCCCTCTAATCCTTTTAAATGGCTCTCAATACACCAAGAGTCATATAACGACTGCACAAGACTTCTTGAACAGCGAGTTCCAATGGGTTTATCTCCGCCCACATCCTGATATTACATTCTCGTGAGATCTCACGCGATTCTGTTAGCTACCGAGCACCAGTAAGTTCCTCTGGTTATTACACGTTACCGTTTGTCTAATTGGAGAAGTGAAATACGACTCCAGACTGCTGTCAGACACGTCTAATGTGCGCCTGACGTAAATACCGCCAACGATTGAACATTGATATTAAACATGCGTTGTCTGACATTAGACGCGGTTTGCAGAAATTCTGCAACTCGCCACAGCTATTTCATATCCGACTATAAGCTGGTTTCAATTTTTTTCGCTAGCCTCATTTCAAGCCTGATCCATCACTTGTTAGGTTATAGTCGGGCCACAGTTGGACTGTGGTGTCTATCTTTGCTTTTGCTATAGATTCGTTTCGAGTCTGACACCTCAGTAACAGGAGAATGATTTCAAATTACGAAAACCAAACATTTTATAAAATATACCAAGAAACCAACAAAGACATCTACGGCTTTTCATTTGAGGTCAGATGCATTTGCATACTGGTCATAACCCATCTTACATAATACCGTTTCAATAATTGTCTTACGTTAAAGGTGCACATAGAAAGTCAATTTCAAGTTTCGTTTTAAAGATTACCGTTCTCCGACGGGCAAAAATTCCCAACAATTAAGCCAGAGGCTTAAATCAAGGTTATAGCTTTGCGTTGTTGAAGTCCCGCATGTCGTTGCCAACGACTTTGAACAATTGAAGTTGGATGAAGGTGTAAGGAATGATACAGTGGGCGCTCGGTCAGAAAACATACAACAGAAAATTGCGATCGTAATTGACCTTGAGAACCCATATAATCGGGCTACCTGATCACAACTTCCCATACCCTAAGTGAGGAGTTGTCTGCTTGCGGCAGTGGCTTGGCCCTGATAGGGCCAACAAGAGGTTAGGGGGAGAAAATTGCCTAAAACGAAACTATTATTTTGGTTGTGGCTGGCTACCCTGAAGTATAGGCCTACTTAAGCCGTCTTGGTCCTTGAGAAAAACTTGAAACAGTTCTAAAAATCATCATATTGCATTTACACAAGATCAGTTCTCTGACTGATTTACACCTTCTTCGACTCAAGTAAACAAATTCGACCTTAATGCAACGCAGAGCTCGCAAAATACCAGGGTCGTTACTTAAGCTTCCAAGATGGCCGCTGGTTGCCAAGGCGACGGGCATCAATCGTCCGGAATATGAAGTGGTCCGGTGGCGAGTCCGCGGCCGTTTGTTTTGATGAGGCGCACTCTAGCATCAACAAATAAACAGGCGCAAGACATGTTGGCGAGGAGAGATGCTTGCCGTAATGGGGCCCCCATAAATACATCAAGCGGCGTATTGTTGAACACTGAACTCCAGACCACACTGAATGCACGTCCAAATGTATCTAAATCAATTGTCACATTCCTGTGGGTGCAAGCCGCCATTTTGAAGAGCGCGCCCCTATATTTCATCCCGGATGAACAAGGGATGGAGTATCACCTTTCGACTTTTCATTCAGAAAGAATGTCACGTCATACACTGTACATGTCACGCTTCAATGCCAAGCTGTAAGTTAGCTCCACAAAAAAGCGAATAATTTTCTTCAATTTGTGTGAGTTTAACTAATAGTAACATACCAGTATGGTCCTGTGCTTTGTCGGAGTATGCAGGTTGTGTGTTAAACGGAGCCCTTTTCAAACAGACGTCTGATAAAATTTTCTGCATGCTTATTTAAAGCGACTCATGGACCAACCAGTCACAGCCGTTGGTCCAAACGAGTCCGATGCTCTTGATTGGTCGACAGCGGTCCGCTGGCCCCCATCTCGCTAGGTAAGATACCCGCTCATTGGTCACAATCTGGAGGTCAGTGTGCATGTGTCACGCATCATTATTTTATAAACTGTTATGTACAAGATGATTGCCTTTTAATCATTTTTGCAGTCACCTGTCGTAATTTGAAAAGCTCAATGAATGTACCTATCAGACACCCATCACTGTAAGCGCGCGATTGGATGTAGCCACGGCAAGTAGCTATCTTAAATTGAAACAATAGGGTTTGGACGTTAGCAATGCACGTTGTCTGAACTGGAGGTCAAAGGTACGGTCGGTTTACAGGATTAAACAACTCTTGGACAAACCCCAAACGATTGATGCTTTTTGCTTGTCAGCAAGACGTGTGGCTTTGCAATATTCGTCAAGTTTTCAGCCCACACGCAAGAGCAAATGACAGGGCGGGAAGCTGATTGGGCCAGCTTAATCTTTGCCCTCCGCCAGAGTTGGGCGACAGCCAACCAGGAGACGGGATTCTTCCCCTCGGGCGACGGCGCATGCGCCCGAGGTTCTAGATCAACCGCTTACCTGTCCTTGTGACCCCTAGGAAAGCGCAGCCAGCATGCCTTTCTCTTCTTTTGATAAAAAAATATGGCTGTGTTTTTGCAGGGAAAGCACAGAGGGGCCGAACGTGAAACTGTGACGAAAAATACTGGGCAATTACAGGTCATTATTGATGAATTTAGCAGACCGGCAGCCGCTGGCGAGCTGAATCGCTCAAACTCCGGGGAGTCTGATGGGTAGTGAAGGATTATTTTCAGGTTGAACCCGAGCGAACGAGGCGGTTATTTCGAAACAGCCACAAGGGCTGAATGCCCCGGACTGTTGTCACACAACGTGGAGAGACTCCCGTGACAGCGTGTCTCGTAACGTTGATGAGAAACACGAATTCCCCCACGTTGTCATTGTTCTACGAAACGTGACCGGGCCCGGCGTGACGAAACGATCAATTACAAAATGCTTTACCGACTTGTTTTCACTGTCTCAAACTCGCGATACCTTGGGAATAAATCTGATCAGAATTATAGACTTAAAGTTAAGTTTGTTTCAACCATTCGTGACCATTCAGAATTACCTCTTCTTTGATCAAAATCTGCGTATTTCCCAAATAAAATAGACATGCATTGCTCATGAAGAACGATAGGGAATGATGCCCTATTTGCACCGATATGAACCCTATAAAAGAGCAGGACTTTTAAAGACTTTTCAGAGGCAGACTCTGCTCCCAGCAGATCCAACCCACTCAACCAGGAATTGATTGTAATTTACAATGCAGTAGAAACGCCCGTGCTTTGTATGCGTGCAAAGTTTGAGCCCGATCAGACGAAATGTATTTCACCATTGTCCGCTAATCAACACCTTTTTGCCTGAAAGGTTAGTTAAAATGCATGCAGCATCAAACTTTGGTAATTCACGAAACCATTTGTTGCAAAATGGATGTCACATCCATCACTCTGAAAACTGAAGTTCACTACGGAAAAATACATGAAAGTGATATCGGAGAAAAGATAAATTTGAAAAAAGTGCCTAGAAACGTTTGTTCGAGTCATTCTTAAGAAAATACTGTGTGGCCTGGTCAAAACGTCTAATGGTCAGTCAATGTTCATGGAAAGTATTCCTCCAGCTTATTTAGACATCTTAAAGCGTTGGAATGTAGAAAAACACGTCTACTGACAGCGCGAGCGGTACAAACATTTAGTAAGCGCTGCTGGTGTTGTGGAAAAATACCTCCTACCAAGGTACATGCCAAAGACGGTGATTTCAGCAACTGTATCGAGTTCTAGCAGATCACCTATGGAGTCGACTTCTCGAAATCAAATAGACGGGATGCTCGCGTCCAGCGGTTGGCGTGTTAGCTTCCAACGGCGAGGGTAACATTTTCCCGAAGAAATCCCATCCACCGGCTAAAAAAAAAAAAAAAGACGACGAGCGACTTCCTCGGTGGTGCGCGGCGTTAAATTGCCGCACAAAGGTGAGGTGCAATCCGTCGCCTGCCGTGCAAAGACTTGAAAAACATCCCACCCGGCTCTTGGCAAGTATTGCCCGCGACGGTGAGGCAGTCCGACCAGGCATGACTTGTGGCAAATGAAACGGCGTGGAGAAATTTATTGCGTGGAGAACAATCTTGATCATGCTGGTAGCAGGGAAAAAATGTTACAAAACGTCAACATCAGTTATGTGACCAACGTCTCAATTTAGAACATTTCTCAACAGAAAGGCACGAATGATGAACGTGTGGTTCGGATGCACAAACAATTGGAAACGAACCTTTGATTAAGAAAAAACCCTGATAAACCGTCATGACAGATTCATATCATCAGTCAAGGGGAAAACAAAACAGCCAAATTTGGCTTGGGGCTGAAGGATTTCGAAGCCAATGAAAGTCACGCATGAATTAATTTTAAGGAAATAACTTGGACGGTCCTTTGACGCTGAAGTATGACTAAATTGGTTGTTCGCGGTGGAAGTAAGAAAAGTGGATTTTGTTCAACTAAATCCAGCCAAGAGCATACATTACAGAGGTTGTGTTCACAAACCTCCAATGGGCCAAACAATAACGAGTTATTAAGTTTAATTCCCAAATATGTGTTTGCCCTGAACGGAAACCAGGGAGAAGGCAACAGATGGCTAGGAGCACCTCGGAGGAACGCCAAGGAGAAACCGCGTCCAGTGATGATGGAGCAGCGAAATGTCTGGGGACCGTCGAGCGGCATCACATGGAGCAGAGAGTTTGTCAACGTCCGCTGTCTCCCTTCCGCCCGGGGTTGGAGAATTTCTGCCTTGCCTGCCGCGCTGTAGCCCCACGTCCGATACAGCTGATGATGGAAGGCCACTTCGACGGCAAGGTTAGACGATCGACCGCAAAGCCGCTGGGGTTGTGGTTGTCAAAAGACAGATTTATGGGGGATATGGATACCTTTTGACGGGGAGAATGATAGTCATCTTCTTGATTGTGTCCAGTTGGCCGTGGACTGACAACTGACCGTTCACTTTTCTGTGAAAAGGCCATCTTATCTCAACACCACCTTTAAAAGCAATCGAGATATTGCCTCAAAAGTCACCGTATTCTGTCATTTCCTTGACGACCAAAGAATAATTACCAAGAAGGGATTTACCAACTTTAAACAAGTTTTCTCTGGAAATGCAGTGGCTTTCCTCCCCAATGGATGGTGATTACATTTTTTACATGGCATTACATTAAGCAAAGTCTTTTTGTGACTGAGGGACGCCATTTTGTGACGGCTTATTGGGAGATCACAATGGGCACCGTCAGAAAATCGACTTCTTAAAATCTTTCACTTCATAGCAGGTTTATGCTTCTGTTTCCGAAGAAAACTAATGCAATACTGGTAAAACTTACAAAGCGTGACAGAACATGTTGGGATTATGTGTGGTCACGGTGCATAGACAAAAATTGAAACTTGGAGTAAATTGACGAAGTTGAAATTGCTCTTATTTCCCCCACGGGAGCACGATAAATCTCTGAATGAAAGACAACATAATTGTTAATCACCGCCGCTCGTCGGTTCATTTCTTCAATTTGTAAGTAAATTGCTCGTTAAAGCTAAAAGGAACTAATCTCATTTTTTCTTCCAATTACTGCGTCCGCTCTGACCAGGTTCAAGGCCACAGGAAGAAGTAATTTAATTACACGCATGGAGCTGCGTGGCAAAGCCTCACACAAGTCGGTGGCTAGGAAAATCCTCACCGACACTCTACCTACACCTTATTTCTCGGTTTCACTTTTCAATTTATTCATCTGTTATGGTGCTCACGGTATACCGTGGTGCGGGGACAGACTGATCATAAAAGCGGAGCCCGGGTGGTCCAAAGTGGCAGAGTGTTTTACGGTCCAAGGGGGATGTTTGTGACAACTCCCGAATTGTCTTGCATCTCGCCTTCTAGCGATTTGAACCCTGTAACAAGCGAGCTGTATTGCACATCCAACACCGCCATACGACAAAAAACCAATCGCCGGCTGAATTTTAAATTGCCTTTCGAACGCCACATCTACAACGACAAATTGAAAGGAATTGGGAACACAGGCCAAATTGTTTGGCTTTCCCAAAGACCTAAAGTTTCACTAATAACGATAAAAGGTTGCATAAAAGTTGCGAACCATCGAATTCAAGGGCATTGCGAACGCTGCACTCCTTTTGGCCATAATAAATGCATTCTTTCTCTTATTTGCACATTCGACTTACATTATGTAGGCCCTTTTCATTTTTGTGACTAGTTTGTTTGATAAAATTATCTCAGCTGTTCGCACATGCGCGCTCGCGCAATTCGTCAAGTGACAATCTCAGCATGGGAACTAGCCCTCTCCCCCATAATGGATCGGCTCCCCGACTTCCTTTTTGTACATGTATACAAGCCACCTGTTCTGTCAAATTGATTGGCTTACCGTTGTCGAGAACATGCCCGAAGATCGGAAATGAATCGACGGTGGAACAGTTCCAGCGACGGTTGCCAAATTGTTCTTGGCACTCTGCGATTGCTCGGTATGCTCCCGTGCTCACACTGTCCATGACCTGATTAAAATAAATGAAATCAGAGTTCAGCACCTGTAAGAACATCAGGGCTTTCTTGGTTTTGAAGTTTTGTTAGCCAGGGAGTTACAGTCTTAACTGAACCTGTTCAAGAAGTGTTGGCATATTTTGCAACAAATTTTTCTTGAGTATGGAAACGCAGTACATAAGTGTATCCTGTCGAACGTCCTTTGAGAGAGCAGTTCTTTTTCCCTTATAAATTAAGCCTGAGGAAAACAGTCCGTTTTGTTTCGTTTTTGAGTCACAATGACGACAGAGCCATTCTAAGATGGCCGCCGTCAGGCTGTGTGGAGAAATATGGACTCTTAAAAGAAGGGACACGATGGCTATAATGCGCACGCGTGTGCTCTAAAAGGTGGCAACATGAATGTGAGGCTGGAAAAGGAGATCAAATTTCTCGTGTGGGCAAATTTTTATATGACACCTTTCAATCGATATGCAGTGTACAAACGTTTACAAAACGCACTGCTGATGACCATCATTTTCCTCAAACGTTCTTCCTGTAGAGCCCAGTTAACGCTGCCGTGTGAAAGTGTCAAAATGAAGACTCTAGGTTAAAACTGTTTACCGGTATTCTTACGTCGTTTTTACGGTTTCCCTGCTTTATGCGATAGGGTTAAAAGGCAATGCTGTTTGGAAACGGTTCACTTATCCGAGAGAGGCGCAGGTTTGACAAGTAACACGGTCGAATTTCTGACAGCTTCGAGTTGACACGTAAGGGCACTATCTAAACCCACGCGTTACCGTTGGGAGAAAAAGTCTTATAGCACAAATAGATTAATCACTCCAGCTGTGTCGTGACTAGAAATTGTTTCCGGATCTAAACCGTTTCGGGGAGGATTCTTTTAGGCATTTATGTTGTGTACGGAGTTCCGCTTTGAAATGGCATGAAATACCCAGGGTGCATCGGTTGCGTCCCTGGTCGCTTACCTCAGCCCGTTTGCAGTTATCCAACTTCCGATCCAGACAAAACTTTAAATGTTCCTGGACGACCAGGGTCAGGATTATAACAAGACCACTTTAACTAACTTTCTCTACACTGATCTTCTTTCTTGGATACATTTCACGTGAATTGGACTGTGGATATATTTCATTCCTTAGACTGAGCTAAACGAAGTTTTTTTTTTTAGTAATCAAATCCTTGCTTGGTCGTCTGTTCGAACTTTGTTCGCCATTAGCTCTTTTCAGGTGGTTCGGTTTAAGACACGTATCTGCTCGCCCTTGTCAACGATATTGTCGTTTTTCAGCTCGAGATGCTTGTGCGCATTTTCTGAGCCTGACATGCGCTCTGAGCTTAATTGATGGGATTTTTTTTTTCTGCACATGAGAAGTAACCTTTGACCGGCAGTACAACTTGCACTTGTGCAGTGAACGCGAGCGAAGCCTGAGACGGCCACCATGCTAACTCGTCGATTTGCGATCTATAAATTGTTTGGGGGTTTATGGCCGACCCTGAGTTTTTTTAAAACATCGTAAAACTAAAACCGTTTGGGGAGGCTCCGCACAGAGCTTCATGCATCTGTAACTGTAATAATTCTTCCGTGAATGACATTCGACATTAGCAATGTGGAAATTAATGTTATATATTGGTGGTTTGTGGTAAGATTAATGAGCAAAAACAGCGAAAGCTGAAAAGGAATGCGTGAGATTGTTCTTCGCTGAAATGTCTATAGATTATCGTAGAGAAGGGTAAGTGGATAGATAACCTGGAGATGCTGTAAATCTTAACACAGTGTGCTTTCATTGGAAGAACTAACTTTTTTAACAATTTACCTTTTTTAACAAAAACGACACTGCATCATTGTAAAGAAAAGAATCCCACGTTCGAGAAAATTCTACCATTCGAATCAGCATTTAGTGCTGCTGTCGAGGGGGTGTTCTACCGAGGAGATGGAGTGTGAACTTTTCAGAAATTCCTGAAGGTAACTTTGCCACTGACGCTTATTTTTACCTCCAAATTCCGTTTGCATATTTGGACTTGTCTGTTGATGAGTCCTGGGAGATTTTCACAACTTTCCTGCGAATTGATTGTCGTAATGCCGAGGGCTTGAATGTTGAAGATGGCTCTGGTGAAGAATGGAGAAGGAATGCCGTTAAATATCACCCAGTGCGTCAAAGCTTAAAAGGTATTGATTTATGGGCAATTTGAAAAAGATTAACAGACCTCGAAATGTGAACAGTGCTTGCTGTAAAAATAAGGCGACCAAAAGGAGACACGTTTGTCAAGATTTGAAGGAAATCCTCCAGATTAGCTACTGCCACAGCACTGCATCTTCTTCTTGTAAAGTTGCCAAAACGGGCATTTTGACAAAGATTAGGCTTATCACTTTTGCTTGCATGCATGTAATGTATCTGAGAAAAAATATGCCCTGCATTTGTTCAGTTAGGCTTATGCCACTGGAGGACGATCTAGTGGCAGTGAAACGAATTTGAAATCTTCATACTCAGGTGTGTATTTTAATAATTGAAACATACTGCTGTACCACGGAGGAAGGTTTCCTTCCTCGGTGGTTGTACTTACAGCCATCTGTACGCATTCCCGCACACGATACAGGCCTGGATGAACAACAGAGATGAGAAGAAGATCTGACGCGAAAAAAGCTCCATCTTTGGCGACTGGCAAGTCTTTCTCCCCTGACAAAAGTCACTGCAGCACGATACACCGCCCTTTCTCCCCTTCTCGCAGATAAAGGTGAAAAACTGCCGCCCGGTCAAAGCCGAAACAAAACGAGATATCGAGGCCTCAGATCGGGTCCCGTAAAGCTATCATTTGGTGACTGCACGTGCTAGCTCTGCGTCACGAGCCGAGGTCGGGTGCCACGCGACAGCCCGACCCTCTGACCGGACAAGAGATAAAGCTCTCGGGTTTCTTTTTCGTCGGTATGTTCTCGGTTCCGGTAAAATAACTCCGAGCTCTTATCATCTACAGAAGGAGGGGAGGTCGAGGTTGAATCTGTCCTCGGTTCTCTTGAACCTGGAGTAGATGGGAAGGAGGGGGGTACAAAAGCGCACGCGAGATATTGGCACGGATCTTCAACGGCTTCGCCACGGGCTGGGTCAACTTTGACTGTCAGTGGAGCTCTGCTGCTGTCAGTGCAGAAAAAAAATCTGCTCTTCCTTTGAGACACTTCCTGTTCTGGTTCCCGCGCAAAATTGAAATTCCACGAATCACCCGCCACTAAGTTTTGCTGTTGCAGTCTTCGTGTAGACGGCAGAGGTCAAGTTAATAAAATACAGACTCCTTTTCCGTATCAAGACGTTAACTCCTGTAATTCCAAGCGTTTACCGCAGCAAGTGGACAAGACCGGCCTAGTTGCTGTGCTTGATAGAGGACTGAGGAAGCTCCTTCCGTGCCCGAAGGCTCTCACATCCGTTGCCCTTTACTTACTGTTTTCCCCTCCAGGTGTCATCCAGCAAAAGAAGGAAACATCTAGGATGGGGTGACAGAGAACCACGATGACTGACCAGTCACCTTCCAACGCAGTGCAATTCGCAAGTTACAACATCTCTCTCTGAATCAACACGGGCAAGTCGCCGGCGCGGCGGTACCTACACGGGTAGTCTTCCGGGGTCGTTTCCTCTTGGGCCCGTCTAAAGGCAGATCCCACCACGGGCTTGTAAAACTGTCCGGTCCACGTCGTATATCTCTTTCTCCCCAGTCCAACTCCCCCTCAGATCTGAAGTAACTTCCCCGAGACAAGACCGAAGCAAGCGAGCGACAGAAGAAGAAGAAAAAATTCCACGTCGCGTCACAGCCTTCTGTGTCGATTCATTGGATGGTATTTTATTACCGCGGTTCACAGCAATCGAATTACCTGACTAGCCTCATAAAAATCCTTAGCACCGCCCCTGTGTGTTACAACTGCGGCTGTCGTGAGAGACTATGACAAGTCTGCCCCCTTCCAATTTTTTTTATTCCTCATTTTTAGAGCCGGAACAATCAACACAGAAACAACGTCATAAACCAAGCAATAGGAAATGCGCGTTATAGACACGATCGTGCATGGGGTGACTGCCCGAACTGTATTCTGTAGCCTCCTTTTCTTAGTCAATCCACCCTTCTTTGAGGAGCTAGAATAGAGAGAAGCGACCGTTGTTTTGTCCGGAGAGATGTAAGGAAAGATCATAGGGGGCCGCCAGTGGCTCAGTTCAGACGAAATGAGGTTGTCAAATGGAAGAGGGAAGAAAGTCGAGGATTAACAACAAGGGATTATGATTGGAAATGGGCTAATTAATCACAGGGGGATCGATGCTTGATGAAGTTAACGGTTGGAGGACCGGACATGGCCATCCGAAGCAGAATGGCTCGATTGGGCTTAGAGCTGCAAAGAAAACCAAAAAAGTGGTGGGATTGTTCGAGCGGCGGAGATCTGTGTGGGGGAGGTAAATCAATCTGGAGTTGATTGTGCTGTGTGGGGTGCGTTCTGTTTCCAAAGAAAACAGCAACATCTTTGCAACAAATTTCCAAAAAGTCCTCGGGTTTGTTCTTCCCCCAGGATTTGTGTGATTCATAATCATCAGTTTCAATCGCTCTACAAAGGTCTTTACGCTTCGGATCATTTATTCCCCAGTCGACAACCTGTGTGTTTAATTTACACGCAGGCGAAAAAAATGAGACAAGCGGCCGAAGGTTGACATTTTATTTAAACCATTCTTGGTGTAGTGGCTCCAATTTCCACCCCTTTTTTGAAATGTGGATATCTTATAAAAGTGTCGCCTGCAGTTGCAAGAGGAGAATACCACTACCAGGCAAAGTTATAGTATGAAAGCCTGTCTTTTGTGGTAACCACATTATCTGTCACCGTCACGCAAAACAACACTGCGGAGATCCTCAAATATGTCTCTAAAATCATCTTCTTTGATGACAGATCTTCAACTAAAGTCGGTACGGGAAACAAGCCTTCGTTTCTCTCTGTCTTGTCTCCTTTCTCCTCCCTTGTGACTCCACGTAAAAGGCCCCGCCTACTGATAGAATTAGTCTCCAACTCAAGGGTGTCGGTGACACATTGAACAGGTTACTGTTGCCCTTAGCCATTGACACGGGACCGTCGGGGAGATCCAACAGCGCGCTAATCTCATATGTATTCCGTCCAACGCGGGGGAGTTGTTCATTTCTTCGCTCCCCGTTCATTCTAACTCTATGACTCGCGTGTTGTTGTGTCTTCTGTAAGTCCATTTGACTCCGTCGTATTTGAAAAGGTCAGGCTCTGTCTCTAGTAATGTCAACTTAGCAAAGGCGGATCCAAAACCAGAGTTTCGGGGGAAGGGGACTCAACACACGACCTCAAAGTGATAGGCGTCATACCTGCTGTGGAATTTCGGCAGTTCCCGTGCATCCCTATTTATTTTTACGTCCAGTGCAAAACGAATGTGCAACGCTGGGGTAGGCCTAACATTTTCCATCACATACCGACCGTCAGCACGACGGTAAACTACACTCTTTGATGAATTATTGTAGTATACCAAAACGAGTCTTGCCATGCGAGTAAATTTCAACAAGTAATCAAAATCGCCTGCTGTCCGACTAGCACGAATTCGAAACCTATAAGAGCAACTGTGAATATAGGAATTAATTTTAAAGAGTTGGTGTTCAACTTCATTTGGGTAAAACGCACTTCTTGGTGTCAGGAAATTGGACTGTAATGTATATTTTCATCAGCGAGTGAAGAAAGAAATCGATGCCGTATTTCTGTGAGAATCGTTGTCAGAAATAAAACTTGATGGATACGACCCCACCCAATCGCAGACCCCGGAATAATTCGTAATTGGCAATAATTACCAACATACCTACATTCTGACGTTTTTGGAAAGAAAAGTGACAGAAGAGAGCCATAGCACAAGCCCGCTGACAGGCCAGACTTGTCAGAAAAGAATCGTCACTACCTGTCGGCAGAAACTTCGCTTCGATGACAGCTTTATGTCATTGTTTGTCACGAGAAACTTCGTCTCCCGGGATGTGATTGTACTTTGTGTGAGCAATCGCGTACTCCTTGGGAATGCATTCGTTGCCACCCCCTTTCTCGTATTGTTCCGCCCCCTTCCACAATTTTTCTCTACTCATAACTAATCTAAAATGGGAGACCACAATCGGAAGTGTTTGGCTTAAAGTGATTCGGGTCTTTTTTGAGAACCACAGTTTGCTGCAATCAATCATCACTCACTATCACCCAAACACCAACCGACCTGACCTGACACCATATTGGATTCCAATCAACTGTAATGGCCCGCTTTATTAGATGTTTCACCGCAACAAAATTGTCTCCAGGCGGTAAAACTCTTCAGTTTTATAATCGGTGGTCAAAACTATTACACATGGTGAACTATGGCTATTTAGACAGGATTTCACGTACGGCCAGGTCTTCAGCCATAAATTTGGGAGCAACTAGCGCTCTTTTGCCTGTTTGGGTGAAAATGTCTCGTATAAAAGTCTGTCATCTTCATGTTCATACAAAACTCACGTTGATTGGTCACTGACGGTGACGTACAAAATGTCACATGACCAGCTGCCCAATTTTAAGGGTTGCTTTATATTCGAAAGGAGCTTGAATTTTTGAAGGAAGATTTTTAAAGAAGAGCAAAAGCTCAGGTCATTGGCTACTGAAAAATAAATCAAGTAAACAAATGTGAGCAAAATTCGCAAATAAATACATTGGCAGATTGCAAATCGTCGTTTCGGCAATAAATTTGAATCAAATTATGAAAAAAAATTTATAGGTAGAGTGTAGCAGGTCTTGCAGTTTCCATATATGGAAGACAACCTCTCAGCCAGCAACGATTACAATGTTGACATTGTATACACAGTGCACAGAAAACAAAAACAAGTCATACGGTATTCGCATGGCGTCAAAAATGACAGATTTACAAGTAATCGTCACTAGTTAGTTCGTCAGTACAATGGTGCCTTTTTCCCTAACCTAATGTTTCTCTTCTTTGAGACTCAAGAAATTTTGTGCAACGGGAACTATCAGAAAGCATGCAGAAAAAAACAGCAGTTAGCAATATTCACTTTCAATTAGGATCGATTGTCTCCCTGAGCCTTGTCTCCGTGGAAGCGCCGTGAGGCGCGTGGACGAGGCCCAGCACGGCAGATAGATGACGGCAGCAACTCCCGGAAAAGTACGCGAACAAAGTGGGCCAAGGTTTCCACCCCTCGTCTCAGTTACAGGCTGATGGCGCTAAATTGTTGAAATAACTCTCCTCCCCTCTCTTCTTTCTGTTGTGATTTTTAGGTCAAATCTATATCGGTCACTAGGTTGTCTTTCGGGCATGAGAAAAATGAATGAGGGTCTTCACACTCTCCGCTTTGAAGGTCAGTGGCCCGTTGAAATGACAGTCCGGCATGGGTAGAGTTCCACAGCCCGCACGGTGTGTGCACTTGGGAATTGTCTTCGTCTGTCTCTGGACTCCTGCATAAACTGCCAAGTCTCCTATTGATCGAACGGTGTTTCCCAAATTCAAGTCCCCGTGGTTTGACTCGGGCCCAGAGTTTGGCAGCGATGAAGTCCAACAATTCTTTGGAAATTAGAAAAAGCTTCAGTACCAGAGAAATGCTTTATCATTTTTACACTCGTGAAAGAAAATTGACTCATAAATATTGCTACAGAGACTTTCTAGAATAAAGTTACTTTTATTGACACTTATTAGTTGTTGCTGTTTTTTTTCAATTCTTCAGTTCCAACTCTGACGGGGTCGAGTGACGTGTGAGGTCCCCGCTGCTCTCTTCAAGCCTCCAGATTGCGCTCTTACGCCGTAATTGCTTCGCACATCGAAGCCTGGAGACACGTGAAACCGCATAGAAAGAACCGCACCGAGACGACCAAGAAAAGGGGAACCAAGGAGACGAGGTATACCGAACAATCCTCTTTGTAGGTTTTGATGCGATTACAGGCTGCTGCCCTGTCGGTTGCCTTTTTGTCGGGGATTAAACGGCACTTCAGTAAAGGAGACTTCAACTATTCGAGCCAATAATTATATCGACTTGATAGATGTAGTTCTGGCTGGTTGGTGCTTAGAATTGCCTTCTGGTGGGTCGATTTTAGCCCCTCTGTCATATTTCTCTGTTTAGCCCATTAACCTGTGATGACAAATATCACCCACCAAAAAGTTGGACATAAAAGCTTGTGCAAAACTGGACTGCCAGATTTTGGCCACTTTTTAATCACACTGAAAGTCCAATTTTTCACAACTTTATTGACCTGTGACCAGAAATTAGGAAGTCTACCTGTGTCGGCACCAATTCAGGAGTTACTTTAATTACTAACCCCCTATACTTGATTGACCTGCAAATATCTTGTGCTGCCACCAAAAATCTTTAGAATTTTCGAGCATCCATCACTAAGTTTAGAGTGAATTCTGAGCATAGAGAATTCCTGTCTAGAATGCCTGCAAAGCAGTCAGAATGATCGGTATGCTGAGCCTTTTACCACCATCTTCACGTTTTAATCAGTCTTTTTTTTACAGCTGCGTATGTTGCTATCGACTGCAATTCTAACCATTTTTCGAGGTCGATGACTTTTTTCTCTGCTTCGACTTCGAGTAACAGGTAAGCAGCGTTCAGTGCGATAAATGTTTGTAAAAATTCTAGCAACAAGCTACGGCGTCTTTAAGCAAGCAATCACTGAACCATGCCGCTTTATTACATCGACTAGTCATCCTCAAGGAGCATCATGGAATCGTCTTATTACCAATATCACATTCTGGGAATGCGCATATCCTGATCTGCTCACCGCTTCGGGATAAAACAAACAAGTCGATTTGACAGATTGACTGTCGTGATATCTGCGCAACATCAGCCGGTGGGACTCGGTCGACAATCCCCCTGACGGACGGTCTTGTCTGGGTCCGGCTTGGAGGACGAGGTTGAAAGATTTACTCCACACACTCCTGCCGATAGTCCTTGATTAACTCAGCCCCAGTCTGGGATAGTGGGCAAAGGTTAATTCCGCCTCCGTGTGAGAAACAAGGCCTTAAAGTTTTTACCCGAATGGTTTTAAGTATAATGGAACACAAAAACGATTTTGAAGTGTCTAGCTGTGGATGAAGAACCTAAAGCATAAACAAGTCTTAGCCGAACTTCGAGGTAAAAACGGGGAACAAATTCTGACCTGCAATTCATTACCCAAAGTATTATAGAGCCTAGAGGCTCATTTGGTCATGTGGAACTCGTCACGTCTCGCCTTAATCGGCCCACTTAAGTTTCCCCTGAAAAGATGTCTGCTTTGCCCGCTTCTGTCTACACAGCTTGTCTGGTTATAATCATGGCATTCTCCGGAGAAATCACAGGGGGCATTTGTGGAAGGCCGTACATGTATATCCCACAAACTTCACATATTCCCGCACATCGTTAGCTCTCCGTGCACCTTGTTTCCGCCGACAAGTGAGCCCTCAACGGTGATAAAGAGAGTGGTTGTGCTGATTCATGATTGTCACTGTTTCCGCGAGACTGCTAGCAAGCGCGCTTCAGGCAAATGAAAAGTTAAGTACGGCACGCCACGTTGAACCAATGGGTTGACATTCTGATATAATCAAACGGTGAAATCTTTGCATATACCTAACCCTGTGTTTTGCCTCCCCAAACCTCTTATCTAGTTGGGAAGAGAAATTCAGTGAAGTGTTAGGTAATTCCACATTTATGCGTGTCTCTAGAGTACATAAAAGCCTTTCTCGACTTCGCCGAAACTTCATTTTAAGAATAATTTAAGGTCGGCTTTCACGCTCAGCCCCCCCCCACTACGAACCAGGCATACTTAGGGATGGCTGGTCAACACCTTAGGTGTCGAGCAAGCGGCGACGGTGTTAGCGCTTATGGGCGGGGATTGCATCGCATATCCCGAGGGGGTGATGTTCGTAGGCACAGTGCAGTAACTTATCCGGGAAAAATTACGAAGAGTTGTCGTTGGTTGTATATCACCGCTGTTCCCCTGCGATGCACTGGCCAAATTAAGCGGATATACCTGCGGGAATTGGCTGGTATTGTTGGAGAAACTTTTCATACATGAAAACTAGGTACCTTGTGAAATACTATGATGTATTTCTTGTAGAAAATAAGTCACGATTGATCCGCGCATGAGACAAATGCCACTGAATTCATATCACCTGTTAACATTCGAATTAAAGCAGGTTCTTGTGTGGGTGTTTTTCCTTTTCTCACATTTCGTTCAGTTAACAATGTCATGACAGCCCAAGTCGAATCAAGACTGAGATTAATTTATTTCGAAAGGTTGACCCGGCTACAGTCGGACAGTAGAGGGCGGTGTATTGAAGAGAGGCCTGAGGCTCCATAAACAGCCGCTAGCCCATGAGTAGGCCGTTGTTAGCCAAGCTGAATTTTCAGTCTTTCTTCGCTCTCTTGTTATGTAATCAAGAACCAAATTTTCCAAAACTTGGTTAGGCCCTATGACAGAAAATGAAGATTTTTTTAATTGAGGAAAATACTGAATGCCAGGAAATGTTAATATTTAACGGCGAAAATTGCTGTGCTGCGTAACTCTTGCTTTACTTGACATTTCAATACAGCGACTAGAAAGGAATCTGCCTCTATTGTCGAGTCACTCCAAGAGAACTGCTCTATTCTTCGAGTGTGTGTGGGTGCACTCAAGCGTGAGGACGAAGCGTTTATACATGTACATGTAGGTCAGTACATATTGACTTGTGACAGGCGTTTGAGTGCCTGAATCCGTGTAGTTGTGGTCATGAGGGCCGGCCCAGTACCAATGGGGATGGTGCAGGCACGGAGCTTTAGCTCCAACCGGTTATAGTTGTAGGCTGCCAAGCCCTCTGAAGTCGTCTGTCGTCCCATGGAGTTGTGTTTGATAGCTTCATGGTGGTTCACAGAGAAGCGGAGCTTAGTGCCTGAAGCCGTAAGTTCAGTCCATCTAACTCCGTGCGTGTTTCCGCTGTATGTCTTGTTTTTGAATGACTGACGCGGTTCTGCCGGCTTGGTTTTTTAAACGGCAGCACGTGAATGGGGAGGGGGGGCTTTTAGTAGTGTGGAAATGGACGGTGAAGGTTCAATCGAAAAAAAGAGGTCCACCCCACGTCACAGCAGACTATTTTGTTGTTAGGTAATTTAAGGGTGTTTACTACTAATCATGTAGTTCAATCAATACACAACAGGTCTGATAAAATTTCTCTTCGTTTTCAGGCTTTGACTAAAACTTCAGAAGAGTAATCCTCCTCGGTCAAACTATTTCAGATATTGTACTTTCCAATCTGATTTGAAATTTGCACAAAAATGTACCTTTTTGAACATAGCATTCCATGCAGTAAACATCATTTTGATCATATACGAGTCTTTCGATAAATTTTGGGCGCTTCAAATGACTTTGGCGTCGGCATCCGATCTAACGGATGATGCGCCAAATGTCTTGCATTGAGTGCATTATAAGGTACTTACCTCACGTCAGTCGATCAACAATCTAAACCTGAATGACAAAAATGCAGGTGTTTTAGAAATTTTACAACAATTTGAATTTTGTATCATATGCACCTGTCACCTGCAATTTTGAAAGAATATACATTTAACTGTTAACGTTTTTCTTTTTATTATTACCCAATGTCAAGGACCTTCAGGATCGTTTGACAGCGTGAGGCGCGTTTAAGAATGACGTAGTATTATTATCATTTTAATTTCTAACTAATTTACAGAATCAGTTTTACGGATTAGTTTTGTGCGTGGATAGAGTACGTGACTATATGGGAAATGGTGCACAATCTTTGGTTACACAGAATGTAAACTTGTAAACATGTTCATACTTCTACAAATCTAAACCACCTTAGCACTTGGAAGCTAAAATTTAATTGATCCTCGTCTGAAGTAGGATGTTTCAATTCCGCCTGTCACAGATTTATTAGGCCCTATAACGTAAATAACGGTATCCACTTAGAGCAGAAGAACCCCCTCATCGGTTGAAGAGAGCCACAATGAGTATGCAATTTGTTGGTAGCGATACGATCGTAACGCGTGCATTTCCTAGTCGTTCGTGAACCAGCGAAATTCAGTTCCGACCAAAGGAGCCTCCGTTGCTTAGAAAATACCGCCCTCTCTTGGTCCAGCTTGAGGCCCATTGCACTGGTGGTACTTTCTATTACTCTCGTTTCAGGTCAAAATATGTCTGAATGACTTTCCACAATTTTCATTGTAGGTTCATCAAATTTGAACATTAATATTTGATGTGCATACCAGAGTCTAATTTCATGGCGCGGCTTACCGCTAGCGAAAAATCGGCACTTACCATAACAGAAAATTTTGTGCTTACGGCGAACGTATTTCACGGGTTAGCGAGGAATTTTGGCTTGTGCGCATGCATGCATCCCATAACTGAAGGTTAGCGCAGAATGGAGATCGTAAGCGCGGAATTCCGCGGTAAGCAGCACCATGAAATTGGGTCTTGCTCTGATCTGTGTGTACGAGTTCCAATGCAGCTTTTTACGCATAAGGACTGATTAATATTCCAAGGATTAACTACTCAATTTTTGTTTCTTTTGAAAAGCATTCCCGTGAGAGCTTGCAAATTCTGCTGTTGAGATTTGTCTAAAATTTCTTAAAATATGATATTTTATAAGTGCTCCCTAAGTCACTACTGGGACTAAAAAGAAATAATAGAAAAATACCGAATTTCTTCTCTCCAGAAATTTGCCCACGACTGCACCAAACAATGCTGCTAACAAGCTTAACAGACACTTTGGAAATCAAGTAGCCTACAAAGCTAGACTGAATAGAATCGAGCCAGAAATTTTCTTTTTTCAAAATTTGGCAAATTCGACCTTACTGTAAGAGTTTCAGGAAAATCAATGCCTCTTTTAAGTGAAATCAGTTTTGTGCATTTTTGAAGGTCCTCCAACAATTGGCAGATGAGTATCTGAATTTATGTCAAGGTTGCTTTTATTAGTAAATAGTGATGTGTCGATAAATTTGGGACGAACGATTGGTTTCCTTTCAGAAGAAAAAATAAAATATTTTCCTTAATCTTGTACGTCAGTCTTGATTGGTAGATAGCTAATTGCTTTTGAAAAAAATCCACTTGCTTGCCTTAATGCAAGAAGAGCTAGTTGCCGTGTGCGCTATTATTGTTGCTGACAATGCTTACATCAGTACGCATGCGCGCTGACTTTATTTTTTTTTTTTGCGCAATCTCCCAAGCCCAATGTTTATATATTACTTCCGAACTCATATTAGTAAGAAGAGCGTGTTGGCCTAGTGGTAGGCAGTCTGACGCTCAACCAGCAGGTCCCGGGTTCGAATCCCGGTGACGGTCACAACAGGGCCTTTTACGTATTTTTTAAACGTCCGTTAACTTGTATAAAAAGAGTAAAAGTTCCATTTTATTTTATTTTATTTTATCTAGTTACCTAGACGAGGCTCCACGGAACTCCTACCCACCGCAGGTTTCCCGACCGGGATTCGAACCCGGGACCACCGCCTTCCGAGTCCACACCTCTACCGAGTACCCAATTTGGGTCCCCAAACTACAACCGCTCACTTCATATATTTATCTATGAGACTCGAATAAAGAAACTCGAAATAAAAATGTTTACACCCGGATTCGAACCCGTGTTCTGTGGGACAGCAGCTCCAAGCCTTACCCCTGAGCTACTAGCACTTCTGGAATTCAACTTTCTAATTTCGAATATATAAGGCATCGGTTCGTACTTGTAAATAAAACCGAATAAACTGGACCGTTGCTGGGACTCGGCACTCGCGTCTGATGGACCCCACAGAGATCTACCATGTACCAACCAAGCCACCAATACTTAAAGATAAGGTGGGGGACTCGCACATTTCAACATTTGGGGATGAAAAAAAAAATGCGCACACTAGCCTGGAATCGAACCCACCTCTGGTTTGAAAGTGACAGGATTTCTGATAACACCAACACAATCTACAGAACATTGCATGCTTGCATTTCAATTATCTATTTGTCTGGATTTAAACTTTGTGGATTGGGAGTTCTGGGCAATGTGTAGTCTAAACAGTTGTAAAGGAAAAGTTTGGAACAAGGGCTCTTGCAATTTTCAAACACAACAGCTCAGCAAAATATGACGGTCGTACACGAGGAACGGATCGAAATAAGTGAGCTGTGCTCACACACACGACAAGAAAAACAGCCATGATGGATGGGGTGACATATTTTTCCTGTCAAATTTTAACCACGCGAGTGTGAAGAGTTCGAAGTGCAAGTTGAGGGAAAAATCTCTGAACTCTTCCGTCTCTCCTCTCTCGATCTGTTCACTGGCGCTCCTCGCCGACAGGAAAGTATGATACTTTAATAGTTTTCCTCCCTAAGGAGTGTTTGAACTGTCTGGAAATGAGCCGAAAGTCTTCAATCATCTCTGAATTATCCCTCTGCGAGAGTTCAGTCGTACACCAAATTAGAAAAAAAGCTGCCGCGGGTAGTTGCCCTAATTTTTGCTGCTGTGATTTTTCTTCTTTCTTTTTCGTCAAACTTTGGGAAACTGTGTTACAAAGGCGGTATTTCGCGTACAGGTCGGTCGGTTCTTTGGTCCGGTTTCCGTTTTCCTCGGTGAGGTCAACCGATCAGAGTCGGTTGGTTGCTACGGTTTTTGACAGGTCTGTCGAAAATACGAGTTGGTTGGGCGGTCAGTCTGTCGATGTTTCGATCACCGTGTCGGTCTACGTCTGAAGAAGTCACACGTAAGCAGATTTCACAAACGGTAGCAATTTCCAATGTCCTCCAGTTTTTTGATTCCACACTTTGTTTTCCTCATGGAAAACGAACTTTTCTTGGAATCCAGCGTCCTTTAGAAGTTGGGAGAGTGGAGGAATGCGAACAGGTGATTAGACGCCGTCTTGACGAAGATGCAGTATGCCGGAGATGAACCGAAAGCCACAGTTATTCCGTGGACCTCCCTCTGGGGATGACACGGCTATTGAACAAGGCACGCGATATTGTTAAAGCAGCACTTCAATCACGTGTTTTGGTTTCTGCGAATTGAAACCTTGTTTGAAAACAAAAATGACTGATCTTGGGCAACGGGGTAATAGTGACTAATCCTGGAAGGAACAACAATACGAAAATCAAACGACTGTTCGAGAAAACGGCACGGTGACCCCTTCCAAGTTTGTCACGTATCAAATTAAGTGAAAATTGCATCTTTTCGTCACAGCTTTGTCTTTTCGTAACAACCGCCACAATACCACAACTTAGCTGATTTACAAATCAAAATTTTAACCGAAGAAACTCCATTTGTTTCCTTTCTATACTTTTTATCTCCGAAGCAGCATTAACTTACAAGGACTGTATTGTGGTGCAAATTACAGGTTATGCAAGATTACAAAAATATATATTCATACAAAACATTCAAACTGCAGTGGAATATAATACAGAACATGCTTAATATAGTTGGAGGGGTTTGTTGGGCGCGATAGCTCGATCTTACTGAATGACCTGTCGATTATTTTACCTTCAGAAGACTGCATTTTCCTTCTGATTCACGGTCGCGAAAGGCTGTTTCAGAAAAAGGGAAGTTACTTCAAACAGGACTGAGTGCGCAACGCGATCACGCGCGCGGGTCATGCTGATTGGCCGATCGCGCCCAACAGGTACACGGCACAATATTGTGTACGTACATGAAAGCCACGTGTGCGTTAGATGTTTGTTTTATCCGAAAGTGCATTGTGTGACACAAGAACCGACAACTGCCTATTCGTGAGCAGTGGTTACTTGTTCAGATTTGAAGGATCAGCATTTACTCGGATTTAGGAATTGACAATGCTCGACTTTGCTCCTCACTTCATGAACGTGAGGTAAACCAAAAACCGAAAATAAACCCAAAGCGAAAAAGATTTTCGAAGCTTTCTGTTTTGTTTTTAATTTTGGGTTTCCTAAATTTGTTTGCTTAGTTTTGGATAATTCTGTTTTGTTTTTCTTTTTTTCTGTCTTTTTTTTGGGGGGGTATTTGTTTGCTTCAAAAAAGCAATGGTGATATTTACACTGTGATAAGTTTACTGTACATATTAAGTTGATTGCCTAAAAATCTTCATCTTGTCATCCAACAACACTGCTACTGCAAGTTATAAAACCCTTCAAATATACAAATATTACATTGCAAAGTTATTCCCTATGGTGTGTTGAAATAAATACTAATGCTTTGTACATGTACATCATGTACATTTTTTAAAAAGTGGAAGCAGAAATTTTCCAGCATTGTTATGCATTAGTCAATGGAGAAAATGAAATCGATAAGATGGAAAAATTTTCAGGAAAATGCAAAGAACAGAAAATTGGAGACTAAGGCCAGTATGCGATCAGTACAAATATTGTACAAATATTTTTACTATTGCATGGGAAGTAGTCTGCCATTGCTTCCTCACAGACAAAACTTGAATGTAACTGGGAGAAGCTTCCACATGAATGATATTTGAGCTCCTGGTATTTTTTTCTGAAAATGTTACCCATGAAATAGTTTGCAAATATGGCATACTTTACCGTCCACATCCGCCACCACCTTTTCGTGTATAGCCAAGGCAATGTTCGGGCATGGATACTAACCCCCGTGGTGCTAATTGAACAATCGGTTTGCCGAGTGCACATTTGGTTAACTGTTACCCACATAAGTCGGGCAATAGTCAACTATTGCCTCCTCACTGACAATCTTTGAGTGTCACATTTCCCCTGTAAAGTGTCCATGAAATAGTTACCAATAACTTACACCATGGCATATAATCTTCAATTATATTCATTATTAGTTTACATATAAAGAACATACTGATATTGGTAAATATAAACACAGTAGTCAGTCATCATTGATGTATACTAGTCGTTCCATCTCATTCAATAACACAAAACTTGATGGACTTTTCTTGTCAATCAAAAATTTGACAGAACCTTCACGGTCCATCAAAGAGTTTGAGGGAAAAAATTGTTTCATTATTTGGAAAAATTCTACACCTGTATACGACCAACACATTCATAGTAAAAACAATTACCTTGAATGAAGATAAACAGGCCAAAAAAGTGGTTCTCGGAACTAGATGGAAATGCTGAAGTGTTTGTTTTTGGAAGCTACTTATCCATCACTGCTCCGCCTAGATCTTCGCAGGAGTAGAATTTTTTTTCTTGGCCAGTTTGCTGAATTTGCTGAGTTTGCTCTTTGATTTGCTCTCTTCACCATTCAGTTTCTTCATGCCTTCTTGTCTGGCCGGGGTGGTTTCTCGTCGTTGTTTGATGGGCGATTTCTTGGGCGGGATGGACGAGGGCTGTTGCAGGGAGACTTTGCGGTGCGGCGAGGGGGGCATTGAGTAGGCTAAGCTCTCCTGCCCTTGGGGCTCATCGTCGTCTGACTCAAAGGACATGATCTCCATGCTGGGCGAGACCGGCGAGGAGCCCTGGTTGATTATGGGCGGGAGAGTGAGGTTAGCCGGTCGCTTGGGGTTGGAGTACGTTTGCGTCCTCACGGGACCATTCCCGTCAGTTTCGTTCCTCATCCCCGCCACCGCATCTCGTATCTTATCCTCGTTCTCCGACTGATGCTTGGAGGGCGGGAACGTCAGTCTCATGTTATTGTTGATAGAGTTCTGTGCGTCGTCATCGGAGTCCACCTTGACGCTCTCATCCAATCTCACTGCACTGGAGACCTGCACCACCTCCTTCAGGACTTCGTCCATGCCCACTTCCTCCTCCTCCTCTGGCACCGGAGACACCCCACCCGCCATAGCCAACGAGGTCTGTGAGCCGGTCCGTGATATATTACTAGACGGCAGCAGAAGGTGCCGCTGAGTCAGCCTGGGGGAGTTAAGAGGACTGGAACTGGGCGAGTTCTCTACAAAGGGGAAGGCGGTGTTCTGCATGGAGAAGACCACGGCCTCGGGGGAGGTCGGTGGCTCACCTGACCCGTCCTCTGCTTCCGTCCTGTTATGGTACTCAAGTTCAAAGCTGCAAAGGTTCTCATACAGAGCCTGTTGTTTAAAAAGAAATCCAGTTCCGTTTAATTGTTTCACATTTTCAATGGCATGTTGTCAATGTTCTACCAACATGACGGTGGTGCTAGCATTAGCATTTCAACGCAAAATTCATTCTGTGGAGTAACATCCGTGGCAGTATAGTCACCGGGTCCCTTATTTTGCCACTTACTGGGAAAACCAATGAGACTTGACAATAAATAACAAAATCAGGGACCTTACGGGACACAGACCTTACGTCATGGACGTTACTCTTGTAGCCCTATTTTTAATGAATTGACCCTTAAGATAGAGGTTACAAGGTCAATAATACACTAGGTACTACCAGACATAAGATACTCGGGTCATTTCTGAAATGGGCATTCCGGGCTACGGCTATGGCTGTTGCCAGAGTGTGCCCGTGTATTTGTAATCACGGATGAGCTACTCGCGCTCTAGACACACTCACCCTGGCCGTTTCCATCTTCTGTAACCAGTCCTGGGCCTTGGGTGTCGACAAGACACAAGCATAAACTGCACAGTTATATTCATCCACGTGGACCAGAGCAAACCCACCTGGCAAAGAAATCCAATCCAAATTGCTGACTGTTTGAGAGGAACATTATCACAATCTTGACGCCTTCTTCAGGGTCTTCCTTATCTTCTGAATAGGAAACTAGACCACCTACTCCAGTCAGCGTGTCTACCTCTCAAGACCTGACTAATCTTGTCCAGACGGGGAGCAATTTCTAAATCTTTTCAGTAAAAAGAGTTCTTGTTTCCTCTCCCCTCATCTTTTGCTTTTGTTACACCTCATACATATTCATGAGTGACATCCGGATAAGCCTTTTGCGACTTAAATTTGAATAAAATCTGGTACACTAAGTTCTTGGAAATCACTTGAAAATTACAGTTTGAATTCTCTGTACTGAAGACACTGCTGCTACACGTAGTGATTCGGAGCAAGCTTTTGCTTAGTTACATAAGAGACACCTTACAACAATACACTGTTCTAAATGGGTAAGAAGGGCACAAAGGAACCAGTCCATTCCAGAGAAGGTGGTCGCTAAGCAACAGCTTGCCCCGAATCAAGAGGTACAGCAACAGTGTCTCTAGTCTGGGGAATTCAATAGTTGTGTTTTATATGTGTAATCAGATAAATCAGTGTACCAGCTGTTATTTAAAGGCTTATTGTTGCTAGTCCACCGACCATCATGGCTGACAATCAAACTTGGTTCTCTCAAGAAATAGAAGTTGAGAAACTAGTTTTGCCTCTCCTAATCATCCTCATCTTGTCATTGTTCTAATCCCTTCAAGAGTTATTCATGACAATCTACCTGCAAACTGTGCTACATTTGTTGAATTTTATCCTCAACGATGTCATTTTGGGGGGGGGGGGAAGGGGAAGGGGAAGGGGTGAAAATTGTCAGCTTACTTCCATCTTTCAGCTCCTGCGTTCTGATCATGTCCACCCTCATCGGTGGCTTGATGATGCGGAAATTGTCGCTCTTCCGCTGCTTGGCCAGGACAAACATGTCGGTGAAGAGGAAACCGTAAGCATCCTGCCGCGAGTCCGCATCGCGTAGCTTGAGGGAGCCCTTCATGTGTAGCCAGCGGGCCTGGGCGGGCGGGGCATTTGGCATGCTGCCGAGGAGGTCCAGGCTGGAGTGCTCCTCCACCAGCTACACAAACAAGGAGTGTAATGCACTCAGCCATTACTACTAAACCAGCGACCTGATGAACCTTACAGAACAGGGAGAAACTGTGAAACGCGTACAAAGGAACTTGATTGCTTCAGGACGTGGATGCAAGAAAACTCCAATGTAGCCGCAAAGAAGTGCGTGTTGGAAACCCACTCTGCATATATAGATTGTATTTTGCACAAAGGAATTGGCGCTACCAGGGGCATGTAAATTAGTTAACTCCTACCCCCTCCCTTCCAGACATGGTTGCACAAATTTCAGCCTTATCAAGCAAAGTATTTGGTAATTTTGGCACATAAGTAACACTCCTTTGGCCATAATTCAGCACTATTTCCCGGGTGTGATCAACCCTTACCCCCTAAGGTGAATGTAAAATCCTATAGAAATCGGAGAACTGATGACTATTAGGTCGAGTTTGGGCGGCCTGTTCTTGAAACAGGTTTCTTGTTCTCGCGCTCGCACGGCGGGAACACAGCTCAATAACACTGTTCTCGAAACAGGATCACATACAACCTCCTCGTCAGGGTTTTACAGGAACACACGAAAAAACTTTTGAGATTTTGATTTTTGAACAGCTGCAAAAAGTAGAGAGATGGCTTCCAAAGCCATAGACCATGTAGACAATGGGAAGTTTTGCAAAATTAACATTAATTATTTTCTGTAACACAGAAATGAACGTTCCTGTTTATATAGAAAAGAATTAAGCCCATCCAAACCTTCACTCTAAAATAACGTACATGGACGCCGCCAAGTTGCATGTTGCTTGCGATAACCGGTTGTTTGTTCCCGGCGTTCGAGCGGCCGACCCATGAACAACAAATCAAGCTGTTCGTGAATACACAGGAACAAGCGGCCCGAACTCAGCCCTAGGGTTACATGAAACACCCGGCACGTCAACTTTACTTGAAGGGGGCAGTCCATCCACACTCTATCAGTTGGAGTTAAAACCTATTCAAGGCATGGCATGGTGGTGGTAACAGAGAAACAATACATGTGCTGGGGGGAAGGATTCTATGAAGACAGTGACCCCAAGTAGTCTCAGGTTTTTTTCTGACCTTGCTAAGTTCGTCGCAACCGCTTGGCATGCTGACACCTTCATAGGCCTCAACGCGATCAATTGTCTCTTCCATCTTCTGCCTCTCTTGTTCCTGTCTGAGCTCGTGATTCACCCGCGTGACAAACTCCTTGACCTCTGATATCTACGAGAGAAAAGGACAAATTCTGTGTCTTCGCATCTTCACCAGGGCTCAACTATTCAATAAAAGTCTGCCTTGGGTCTAGCATAGTCAAACGATCAACCTCGACTCAGAGCAACCAACAAAATTCTCTTCACCGGCAAAACAATGTTCAGGTTCAACCAGCCTGACACCTGTGTTCTCAAACACAACTAGCGTCAACTGGACATTCTAGATAGCCCCCTCTAATGACGGAAAGCACCTTGTTAGGTTTTGTATGGAGGGATTTTACGGTGGCTTCAATCAAGTCATTACAATGCTTACCGCCATTGGCGGGGGCCACTGGAAATGACCAACAATGGCTGTACCGTGGTCACTGGATTTGTGTATTCCAGAGCACTGTTTCAAGGTGTTAACTGCGCTCACTTCACTTCTAGATCTCAACTGGACTTACTCTGAGTGCAACCTCTGCATTCTCACCCTCCTCAAGTGTCTTTTTCTCCACGGCAATCAGGAGGAGTGGGTACTTGGTGATGCGTTGCATGGGATAGACAAGAAGATCTTGTAGCTTGAGACGTCGGCTGTTAGGATGCCTCTGGGCCCACTGCGAAGGAGAACAGCGTCAATTCAAGTAACTTGTTTACTGAACTTATAATTTATTAAGGCACTATAAGAATTCTTACTCTTGCCATCAATTAATGTTGTCTTCGAGTCCATCACAAGTCCCGGTAAGTCCATCACAAGTCATTCAGTCTGGAGCCAATTCACAAGCTTTTCCAAAGGCCTGTGACAAAAGCATTCTTTTGTCTTTGTTCACCCATTACTTATGACTAGCTTTGCCATGGGACTTGCGAACGGACTTGTGATGGACTCGAATATAACACTGCCCTCAACTCATCAGGGTTTTAACTACATGTACTGAACAAGAGAGGATATCAAGTAGTTTGTTCACCAAAGCCAAACTTGGCTTTAAGCTTACACAGCAATGACCCCTTCAACACTTGTAGACACCAAAAGTAACATCTGTGGCTGTATAGTCACCAGGTCCCTCATGTCGCCACTTATTGTAAACACCAATCAGACATGACAACAGGTGGCGACATCAAGGTCCTGGCAACTTTACGGTTACGGATGTTACGATCTACAAGTGACCACACCCAACCATCTCAGATCACACCCTTTGCTCAGAATAATTGTGACCTGTCCCGACAAAATGAGCGTCAAATCGCATCCAGCTCTTCCCAATTTTGAGGGTTCAAACTTTCGAAGTCATATTGAAGTGGAGGTTAATTTGGTTTTTATTTTTAATAAATATTTATAAAGAGTAATTTATCTCCTATATAATTCCAAATATTTTGCAGGATCATATATTTAAAAATGTCATTTTCAAAGCAATTCTGACAATAGCACTGTTCATGCCTGCTCTGAAATGTTGAAACAATGTTGGGAACACAGACAGAAAGCTACCACAACAATGTCACCTTGTCACCTCATACTTTTACCATATTAGCGTTCCATGCATGGACCGTTGGAAAGCTCCCTTTCTACTGAATTTCAAAACACCAATATCTCCATTTTGGAAAATTCTGACTTCCAGCTTATTTTGTAGTGACAGGTCACAATTGAGTCCAGCCACCCCTAAAGTCTCAAGTCACGCCCACTACTCGTACAATGTTGATCAAACTACCTCAACCATCTAAAGCCACACCCTTTGCCCGTAACAATGTGATGAGGCCACACCCACTGCTCCTACTTTCTTTAGCAGGCCACACCCATCTGCCCCACCCTCTCACCTCAACAAAGAACCTCAGCATCTCGTTATCTTTTGTTCGTTCCCTCAAGTACTTCATGCAGTCGTCCTCATCTGTACAGAACTTGATGTACGGTGCAAACAGATCTGCAAACTGAGGAAATCAATCCACAAAACAGTCTTACCAATACTTTGAATTTGGCAACAAGTCTTTTCCATCTCATCTGCAAGATGCTTGAATGTTTTTATCGATAATCAATCTCGCTCCTACCCCTTCAAAAGCCTCGGCCAAGTCTAAGGCTGATGGGATCCTTTTCTCTGTTCGTGCCTTCTTGACCACGTTGGAGAGCTTCTCCTTCCAGAATCTGGTGTGGAGCTTCTCAATGGCAGTTATGTTGCTGAAAATCTTCTCTGTCTCGATCTGATAACAAGATCAACAAGAACTTGGCAAGTTGAGTCAAATCTCACAAAAACTTTCTTCTGAAAGACCTGATCATTGATTCTATTAAGTATTTTGGCTTAGAACTTCCCCCAAACTGCAAAATCATTGATGACACAGGAACCCAACAACACTGTAAATAAATTCTCACGGGATAGCAAGCCTGGAGTAATAGTGGCTGGGCTCTACCTTCCTAAATCCCATAAAATCCTTCAAAACCCTCCTGACTGATTTTTGAAGGCTCACAGAGGGTAAGGTTTAATTAACGACCACCATCTCAAAGCACAGAATGCCACTGCACCCCCGTTCAAGAACACAGACAGCTTGACATTTTGGGATTCAATCACAAGAAGACTGGGGGGTCAGTTAGTACAGCCCTGGACTGCTACTGCAGCTGAAGAGCTTGACTAGGAGTGACATTTCCAGCGTTGTATTCGAGTCCATCACAAGGCCATTCACAAGTCCCTTCACAAGGTCAGTCACAAGTCCCTTCACAAGACCAGTCACAAGTCCCTTCACAAGTCCAGACACACGTCCCTTCACCAGTCATAAGTAACAGGGTGACCACTGACAAAAGAATGCTTTTATCACAGCTCATTTCAATAGATGAATTAGCTTAAGACTGAATGACTTGTGACGGACTTGCAGGGACTTGTAACAGACTTGAGTACAACACTGGGCAATTCTAATGGCCTTTACCTCATTAAGCATGACAGATGCTTGAAGGTTGATCAGCGTGCACAGATAGAACTACAATGAGGTAAAAGATATAAAAATGAAATTAAGATTCGGTCTTCCGATTTCTGAAGAAAGTCTGTGCCAACTCATGCAGCACTGTATGACATCAAAATCAAAATTACTGATGGTGGGCTAATTCACAACGTTACAAGGTTACAATGTAGGTTGAGAAATATCCAGCCTCCAGCACTGTATGAGGCAAGTTCCCTCGTTTTGGGAGGGGAGGGGCAGGAGGAACCCTTCAAAGGAAATCGGTGAATGTTTTGCATGGTCATAAGTTGATTAATTAGATCCTTTACCAGCATTGCACATATACATGTGTGTGTACAGATAGAAAACCACTTATGCCTACTCAAATGACGATGTGAAAGCAAGTTGGGGGCTTATGCGCTGCATCTTTTGTGAGGTTGTAACTTATTCAGGGGTGTGAGAGGCAAAATTAAAGCTGAAAACAGCTGGCAAAACTGAAATGTAAAAAGTTCCATTACTTTTGTACAGACCGGGTGTACAAAAAAGCTGAAATTCAGGGTCAGCATCTAAACCAAAAAAAGCTGAGATCGGCTGAAAAGCTGAATTCTCACACCCCTGCTTGTAATGCAACTTGTGCAAAATTGCAGAGTTGACTGCCCGACTTACGTCAACAATGATGCGAATGTTCTTAATGTAGCCAACTTCAGTCCTGATGATCTCCCAAATGGCCTCTTGCTGGTCTGTCTGCTTCTTGGTGAGCTGGCTGATTTCCTCCTCATCGCCCAAGGCCCTCCAAGACTCCTCCTATGTGAACAAATGTCCTGGTTACAGAAAGCTAGATTCACAATTCAACTGAATGGCCATAAATCGGGGAGCGGTTTGGGGCTGCCACGGGTGATTTGTTTCAGTGAAAGACTGTTAAAGATGGGGAAGTGCCCCTACATTTTTGGACATGTTTGAGACTGTTGGTGTGATTCTGTATTATTAAGTTCTTGGTTTTACAGCTTATTCGGTCTCAGTTCTTATTAAACTCGTGAAATCGGCACAAATTCTGCGTCATTCTAAATGGTTCAAGAAATATTTGTATATTATTCTTGACAAAATTGGCTACAAGCCAGTTCTATTTTAGGCTAAACTGTGATCAATCGGCTTAAATCGGTCTGATTTGGCTTCAGGATGTTGATGGAATCTCATGCACCTTTTGCAGTAACAAAGCATTGGTTTCACGGATCGATGATTATCAACAATTTTAACACAAATTTCATAAAAGATGTTATCATTTCAACAACGCCCTCTGTTGTCCAGAAAGGCATGGGCAATGTTAAGTATTTGTAAAAGTGCCCTTTTCAATACAAATGCCAAAAGGGATGTTGGATCATTTTCATACATGAGAGAAGAGCACAAAGTTCAACCTCGACTCCATGGGCTGCGTGTGCGTTCCTTCACTAGCCCCTGGAAAATTGACGCTTACTGGCTATTCGGGATTTCAAACACTACATGCTCGTGCCCAGGTATTCTCCTGCGCATCGTGCATGCATAAGTCTGCATCACGTGTAAACACATTGACTGCACACCTGATTTAAATCTCCCCCAAAGAGTGGGATATTTCAAGATCGTACCCATGGGAACGAGGTTGCATAAAGTTGGACAAAAAGAAAAGATCAAGAGCTGGGCCCTTTAACTGCATGATGAAAAGTACCAACAGAACCGAGTTCAATGACCAGCCACTCACAAGTTGGAAACATTCCTCATCATCTTCTCTCTTGGTAGTGAAAGTTAGCAGAGCTGGGAAGTCCGGAAGACCGTTGATCATGAAGTCATCCAGCGTCTGCTGTAACTTGAGGAATTTGGGATCTACCTTTTCCTGGGCGGAGGGAAAAAGCGAGGTATTCAATGAAACTATTCACGTTATTGCGTTCATCACACGTGCCCTGCCTTGTTGAGTATTGCTCATAAAATGTGACTGGTGTAAAGGCTGGAACAGCGAGAAAGAAAAACTTGAACCTGTGACACCAGATCATAATGACAATTCACAAAAATGTTAAGAATCAATCACAATTTCCTCGAAGTAGGTGTAAAGGCTAATTACCTTTGCCGGGTCTTGGCCACTGACGACTGACGTCCGACGATTGCCCTTGTTGGAATTAGGGATCGGATCTGGTTGATTTATCCCCAAGAGTTTGGTGAGATCTTTCTTCCTCTCCAAAGTCTGGGTAGATTGCTACGAGCCAAAAAACACAAAATCCCTAATCAATGGAATCTGGTAAATCACTGTGAGAAAAAAACAGCCTCGAAATTTCACAGCAAGCTGTTCATGTTTAGCCACTTATCAAAACCACTATCGTGTTCATGCATGACTGAGCGCTCAGTGGTGGCACAGAGATAGATCAGGCCAACACTTCGCTGTTAGGCACATGGCACCCTCACAAAGACTGTATATTTGTGCACAGTCCGGTGAAAATGTATGCATGTTTTGCTGTTATGTGAGCAACACGGTTTATGGCAGAAGTCTGGCTTATAGGATGCTGTTTCTAAGACCTCCCCCACCCCTGCCACTGTTCATGCATCACGTCTGGCTACAGCACCGCCGAAACACAACCCCATCCATGAATGACATCGAGAAAATTGGCCAGTTTGCTAGACTTTTTGCAAACCGTTTAGCAGCTATAATGAGACTGGCTCTGCCAAGCTATTACTACAGCAAATCTGAATGCATCTTTTGTAATGAATAGATAATGGTACAACTTGAGCATGACTGAGAAAAAAAATTAGCAAGTTGGAACTCAGCTACACCCCTACTGTGTGACCTCTCACCCTTGACCTCTCGTTCTTGCTCTGTAATGCAATGACGTGAACTTTGAGTTTGAAACTACAGCAGCCCAAATGTCATGCATCCTGAATTTATGCTGCATAGTAAGGCCCCCCATACTGCCAAAAAAGAAAACATGAGAGACGTACGGGTCTAGCTTCATTACAGAAAGGACTGGCATGTCATACATTGAACCAGTAACAGAAGCATCCTGTCAGCAAGGGTACCAATTAACAAGCCTTTTTCTCGCAACACCTGCAAGGATAATCCTCGGCCATTTCTGGGAGCCATGTTCCTAGAAGTACAGTAATCATTTGGCTCTCTTGACAGATGGACACAAATACATCCACGCATGCTTCCAATTGAGGCGTACAGCTGACATTTCTGAGAGTTAGTTTAGGGTTAACATTTTGGAATTATTTTGCTGTCATGCATATCGTATGATACATCATTAAGCGTGTTCTTATCAGCATGTCCACATACATGTAGAAGCAGAATATTCAAATGGCAATGTGATTCTTGTTACAGATGAATGAATATACGCCTACATGCATGTACATGCATCAGGTCTAGACTGCAAATAAACAACTGCTCTTATTGAAATTAATGATAAAAAAGACAACCCATGGCTGTAAGAATTTCGATTGTTAAACTGTATCAGTTTTTTTTTCAACTGAAAACATGAGACAAAGAAATGCCACAATTTGAACATTCTTCCAATTTCTGTGTAGAATTTGCGTACTAAATTTACGGGTTTTATCTCCCTGCATTTCGACAACAAATCTGTTTGCTTCACAATCTACATCAAACAGTTAATTTTTTTTCTCCTTCATACTTTTTTTCTTGAAGGGGGGTGGTGGTGTACCGCCCAATGCAGTATGACTACTCCAGTGCCTAAAGTCCACAGCTTCATTTTGCATGTCAAAACTGAGACTAAAATAAATAAAAAGAACCAATATTTGGACGAGATAAGACTGCAGAGTCTGGCAAACAGAATTCTCTCAGGCAAACTAGGACTGAAAACAAAACGCACACAAAATGTAGGCATTAACAAAACAAAGTAGAAATCCTACACTAATCCTACACTTTTTTCAGCAAAAATTCAGAAATAGACATGCAGCATGCAGTGTTGGTCATTCATACATTGTAAATACCTCAGACAGTCTCCTACAATGCCCGCTGCACAAATCATGCGCTGGCACCTGGATACAAGTCAGTTCAATCAATTCTGATTGGTCAAGAGACTGTGTGCACGCAGCTCACCACACACGCACCAAGTCCATATAAGGAGATTCTTTTGGACAACCATAAAATAAATGGACAGGGGTGTTCGGGAAAATGAAAGTAAAATTCTAGAAAAAAATCGTTGGAAATCTATTATACATATTGACTTCTTTTGACTCTCTGACTCAAAAAAAGGTATTTATGAAATGGAATCAATATGCTTGGCCAGTCTTTAACATTTAAGACCTCAAGAGACTGAACCCTGATTATGCCCTCGCCTGCAGCTCAGGTATGAGTCTGCAATAATGCACGTTTATACAACAAAATTATATACGCATTATTTGCTTGATTTCAGTAGGGAAAAAAATACAGCTTCAACTTAGCTGGAGCTGAGAAAAAAAGCGACTTACACTGCAGAAAAGAATCATAAATCAGGAAATTGTCTAACATCCACGCTTACTTTCTAAAACAATGTGAGCTCCAAAAAATAAACAAATCAAGCAAAAGAAACAAACAAACGAACCAAAATTCAGTGATCAGTGTGGTAAAAAGACCATTTCATCTCCAGTCTTGCACGAGAGCTACAGGTTGACATAAAACCAAGGCAAATGAGTCACAGTCACTGAGCTCTTGGGCAGGAATACATGTACACGTACAGCCCACTTTAACCATAATCAGCCCACAGCTGGTCTCACGCAATATACACCACATGCCATTTTAGTTGTAACCTGTTTTTTGCTGAGCAGGGTTTCTTTGGATTATAAAGCAAATTTATGGGCTTAACAGAAACTGGCCCTTGGATAACCATTTAAATGTCAATTGTAACAGACAGTTCATGTCAGAAATGGCTGGTTGATATGAATACCTTGGCATCGGCATGTACTACATGTTTTCCTGTATGGTGCACCCTGCATCTTTTGACATTTTTTACTTAAAACCTTCCTGAATCCTGTAAAATCCTCCATGGTTCAGAAAACCTGCAACACATTCTTCGCACTTCAACATTCAAGGGGCATCAAGCTCCATGAAAAGTAAATGTAACAGTGGCTGAGTTCTACCTTCCTCAATCCTACAGAATCTTTTAAAGCTTGGCAGTGGAATGTTGCAGCTAAGACAATCTTAAGCTCACACAGATTCATCACACTGCAAGCCTGTTTCATGCCTTGCAGTATGACAGGCGATTTTACCTACAGTATATTTGTGGTTCTGATGGGAAATTGAATACTCAAGAAATCTGCCTCCTGGAGGATTTTGGAGGAAACGGAAGGTTTTAATCGTCAAAGCAACACTGAGTGAAATGGTCTACTGGCTGGCATGCAATGTAGAGAACGGAAAAGTGGACAAACAGAGAAGAGAAAGAGAGAGCATACTCTTGGTGGTGGTGGTTGAAGCTCCTTCTGTTCCACGCCCAAGAATTTGGACATATCCTTGCGCATCGGAATCGTCTGAATGACCCAAAATGAAACCAATGTTGGAGAAAGGGTGCAAAAGGAGTTTTACAAATACAGAACAATTCAACACCAAAATGACAATGACAATCGCAATAAACAACTACATGGTGACAATGAGGATGTTGACACTGTGGACAATGACAGCCTGTGCCATACTGAGAATGACAACAAAAAGGAAAACAATGACAGGCAGATTGTGGTGACGGTGACAATAACAAGGAAGTTGGGGAAAGGTGTTCTTGTCAAGTTGGCAATGGCACAGTGACAGAAATGGTCATGGCGGTGATCACAGAGCAGGTGATCATGGTGGTGCTGGTGAAATGAATGTAGGGGTAGAGGTGATGCAACCTTGTATGCAGGATCTACTTCCTACATCGATATCAAGCGATCTATCTTTACTCTGACAGTTGAACATCAGTAGCTAGACATGAATTTGCAGTTAGTGATTTTCATGTCAGCAAAGGCAACGTCACTTTTCACACGTAATACCCAAGTAAGTGCCCCAGATGCTCCCAACACACACAGCATTTTATTTTTCAGTCAGTGTAGTCGTGGAGATGGGATAAGATGACTGTTAGCTTACAGCTTTAACAAAATGATTCCAACATTTTATTTTGCTTAACGTGGGGGGCTTGGACATATACCGGTACACAGCTGCGATTCTGGTGTTAGCGTTCTCAAATATCAGGGCAATAAGATAGGTACAAATTTGGATAGAAATGATTGATGAGGATAAAGGAGCAATATGGTGATGGTGGTGATGAGACGGGGTGACAGTGGTGATGACTGTAACATGATGAAGACAATAATAATAAAAATAATGAAAGACAATAACTTCAATGATTACAATATTCATACCAAAGATAAAGCTTTATAAGCTCCAAAATTATGTATGGAGTTGGAAATCCCAGTCACAGACCTACATGTAAGTGTGAGATGCACAAATACATCGTACATACCCACCCCAAAAGGACAAAATAAAAGACCCAGCAGACAAGTGAAATAACAGCTGCAGTGTGTCTCACACCTACACAAAATGGCCACAGGAGTATGCACATTCAAACGAAAACTGGCAGTGTACATCTCTAAAGTGCGTCTAACTCAAGCCAGTTAGCACATGCACTGTGCTCGCATACATTGACTCTTGAAAGAACAGCTATGAAATTCAATCTCCACAGGTTTTCCTGATGCCAACAGAGTTCATACCAGTCAACTGACAACGTTCTCTGTCTTCCAAGCTACTAATGCGAAGGATACACTAACGGAAACAAGACAATGCTAAACGAGTCTACTCACTCTTACGAGGGGGAAAATACTTATCACTAGTTCAGACAAAGGATGTAGAACACAAATATTGGCTGCTTCAAGACCGGTACATTGTACATGTCAAGTCCTAGTACATGTAAAACTAGCCTCCGACTGTGATTCAGGGAAAATTCCATTTCTCCCAAGGTGAACCAGAGGAAGAATAGAACATTCAATAAATGACACAAGGAAACCAGTGTGTTATCACAACCAATCAGTAATTAACTAGAACACCTCAACCAACGATTCTGTGCAGCTTAGCGCATATGTATTTTTTTTTTAATTGAACGCAAAACAGAAACTTCTCTTCCACTTCTACGGACTCCCCCGTAACAAAATCTTTTGCTCTGGTTAATCTGATCTGTTTGTAACCTAACCTTCAGAAACATGAACAAAACGAACATAACTCGGAAGTACATATATACATGTACACTGCGCTTCAGTTGCTGTGAATATTGCTCAGCAATGGCTAAGTTTCCAGGGATCTAATGCATTCCAAATTCTATTTCTGTGTAGAGTATCATATGGCATACGCTTAACCAAGTCAACAACAGAATCTGTGGTTGAGATGTTACTCCTAAGAACAGATGAAATGCTGCAGCCATCGGTTCAGGCAAAGATAACAGGAACGTACATGTACGTCGTACATTGTAAATGCAAAATTCTGAGGAACAGGTCGTATTGTTTTGACATGCACACGTGCAGGTGTTCAACACTGAGGTACCAACCTGGTAACCAAGTATTCCCATGAAAAGAACTGCTATGCATGTACGGTGTATGAGAGAAAAAGTGATTTGCAGGTCAAAAGTCAAAAATTATTCAGGGTCACTAACATGACATGAGGGTCATATATAGGTCAATAAAATGTGTAGTTTCAGAACCTGAAATTAACAACACCTTGGTGCCTTACAGAAAAGCAAGATTATTAAAAGTTAGTGCTTTAAGAAGCCAGGCAGAAAGTTCTAGAACTTTCCTGGGCAACAACTGTTCCATGTTCCAGATGCTACTTACATGTAATGCACCACAGGTGCATCACTATTGCTCTGGAAAATTAAATTATCCGGCAAAAGGTAACATAGAACCAGAAATTGATAATGTGAAAAAAAAAGACCTTCAATTGGTGAGAACATTTTCACCTACCCCAAGAAACGGCTCCCCCACGTCTCCATTTTCTCCTTCCTCCATTGTCTTCTGGTCAAAGCTTGGACTGATCAAAGCTTTAGAGTGTCTGCCTGCTTTAGCTGAAGCAAACAAATCAGATTGTCATAAAACAAATGGAGTTTTCATGCTGTATAATCCATGCAATGCTGATGGCAGCGTCCATCCTGTTCCCTGCCTTAAAAGTACATGTAACTTGATGCAGAGAATATTATCAAGCCAACCCCTCTACATGTAACAGTCACGACTGCTTCAGTCATCACATAGGTAACTGTTCACTAGAAGCTACGGGAACTAAAACTAACAGTTTCAACCTGTTTCTTTGTTGTAACAGCAACATGCTAAATCTGGAATGTTAGAAAATCTGGTATACCAGTATATACATGTGTATGTACCACAGCTTTCCTAAAAAGATGCCACTTCTAGTGCATACTTACTGTCATTCAAAGAAATTTGAGGACTACAACGTTTGCCATAGGTTATAGGGCACTGCACATGCAGGTTTTAAAACACGGTTTTAAAGACAAAACAAAACATCCCAAAACTACTTATAAAACAACTAAATCCCACTTGACATACCTTATGTAAAAAAATTACAGCATATGCATTGACTACTGACACTAGCGTATGGTCGGTCAACTGGCTATTAATCTACATCCTCCTCAAAAAATCTGAGGGTCAAAGGACAAGGGTCAAGGTTCAGATGTAAATTCTTACCTCTGACATAAAGGTGCCTGCCACCTAAGGGTTTGACCGTAAATTCTAGCGGGGTTGGGGATGTGGATGATTCAATGAAGATGTCGATGGTTCGGATGTCAATGTCGGCCGTTGCAAGAATTGGCTTAATGGCGTCCCTGTCAGAAGGACAATAACACTGGTGATTAGAAACTGTGTACAAAGTCTATGAATTTGGGTAGAACAAGAAGAAGAAAAAAGGGAAAAAATCACTGCAAAAGCAAAGGCTTTTCCCGAAATCTCCAGGGGAAAAATTCCAATATTTTCAATGTAACAAATTCAAACCTGGTGTGGGAAAATAGTTATGTAAAACATTTCTTGACAGCATTTAAAACTGTTGAGTGAAATCCATCTGGCTGAATGTCTCAATCTTCACTTCAATGTAAATCTGACTTCTGACAGTACTAGGTTTACTGCACATTTTCGAGTTCTGAATTAACAGACCTGCAAGTAGTCATCAAGTAACTTGACTGTGTTGTGATTAAATGTGTTGGTTTACCTGATAAATCAAACAGCACTCATGGAAAATAATAATCTCAAGGCACAAGAGAACAGCCTGAACATTTCTTCAACCTCCAAAATCTCAAATATTCCAGGAAAAAAACTTCTGCCCCAAAGATTATACGAACACAGAGACAGGACCGCTTTAAACGTCAAAGGGTGCACATGGCCGACCTATATTGTAAAGACATTTCAGCAAAAACACTTCCTTTTGAGGTCTCATGACAGACTGCTTGCTTCATTATTATTGTTCAACATGAAACGTGAAAATCACACTGCACAAAAAACAAATAAAAATTGGCTGTTTGATTAATTGAAGCAGTATTAAACTAAGGAAGGATTCTTCCCCCCTCCCCACAAAAAAATAGTCATAAGCTGCAGGCTCATCTAGTAATGGTATAATAAACATGTCAAGGAAGTGACAATTACAAAAGTTCCTCAACGTCTTAAATATTAATGAGTGTTTTTCTCATTGGAGGACTATGGGCACACGATGGAATCTATCGTCTCTTGTTTGCATCTCTAGCCTCCATATTTTACACTAAAAGGATTACACTAAATCTATTTTGTTGGACTATCAACGGCACGTGATGGAATTTCAGGGTCTTTTGTTTCACAACTTTTACCTTAGTGTCAGGTCTTTGACTGTCTCAACTTCATGTGTCTGTGTGTAGAACCGGAGATCAAAGATCAGGGTGAGGAACTCCTTCTCTGCCGCCCTCTACAAGTGAATCATCAAAAACGAATCATTCCCAAACAAATTCATTTTTTTTTTAAACAACAGAAAAAGGTAAAAACAACTTCAAACAACGATGCAGAACCCTTTTATCACAGGTCTTTTGAACTCCATCCAGAATACCAGTGATGTGTCAAACTCTACACAAAAACTGCACGAAATATTTTTGTTCAAATATTTGAAGTACTGTACTGTGTAAACCCTTTGAATGTACATGTACAGTACATGTAGACACACTGATCTATGGCATAAGACATGTACCGGTACATGTGCATGTTTACCGGGAAGTAAAAAGATTGTACATGTACACGTATGATGCGCACTGCACACCACTTCCTTATAACACAGGACTAAAATCTAAAACAAACAGCGATGACTAGTACAAGGAAGGCCAGAGTATATCAGTTAAACCTCAATGGATGGAATACATGTACATGTATGCTAACAGGTGTGTCATTGTTTTTCACACAAATAATATCACAAGTACATGTGCATAATGCACCTGTAGACAAATCAGGCTAGATGCTGTACTCACATAAGCAGATTCTGCAGAGGTTGTTGGTTGTAGAAATCAACTGCTATACATACATGTACATGTGCGTCTGTAGGCCGTTACAGGAAATATCCCCAAACCGAATTATCTGAACAGGATCTGTCAAATTGGGCTGATTTCTTCTCTCTCAGGGCATTCAGAACCGGGGGGAACAAGTTCATTGTTTGACAAATATTTCGTCAATGCACCAAGATCACACAAGTCCGTCGCAGAGCCGGCTGTCTGAAGTAGAGTTGAAGGGCAACCGTATACAACCCCATCCGCAACTGGTCGCAGTCATTTCCTGGTCTCGGCCACACAGAGTTACTATCTAACAAAATAGAAACCTGCTACACCACACACATGCATATCATCTTCCTTCGGGTTGGATTATGGCTACCATTCTTAGGGAGTCATTGTCATGATAATTGGGAGCAGCATCAGTCACAAACCCCAGGGGGGGGCTTTGTGTAACTCGACGAGGTCAAACTGAGGCACATCCCCGGCTCACGCAGGTCCCTACGCATGCCAATACTTCCGGCTATATTTCCTTCCGTGCCCAATGAATTGGTATCTTACTATGTATCCTGCCTCAATTAAAAGAAGAAAAAAAAAACTAGTGCAAGATCATATTGGAAATCTCACCAGCTGTCAATCCAACCGTCCATTTGTCAAAAAGTCCATAACCTCTCCTGGCATTTCCTATTTCTCGGACAACCAAACCATGTTGTCTTCCAATCTCATTCCTATCTGAACGAACCAAGCATTCACAGTATTTCCAAATCCTCGTACACCTGTACAAAACAGACCTAACCCTGATACATGTACATGTATCCATGTACATGTACATGTATCCATGTACATGTACATGTATCCATGTACATGTACATGTATCCATGTACATGTACGTCACAGCTGGATGTTATTACCAACTTTCTAATGTCAAACTAGGGCTGGTCCCCACTACAAAAGCAAAATAAGCATTCACAAAGTGTAAAAACATATTCAGGTGGCAATTAAAATGCTTAATAGATAGACCAAGTGCAACCACTGTATACAGTGCAGTGACTGCTCTTTGGGCTGTTGGCAACCATGGATTAACTTTCTGTAAACACTGGCGGCCCACACAAAATGGTAAAGACAAAGTACATGTAAGTAAATAAAGGCACGTCTACAAGTAGGCCTATTTACTGTGTGTAGGCATGGGCATTACAAAGGTTTATTTTTTGAGGGTTACCGCTTTTGGGGGTGCAAAGCTCTCATCAGCAGCAATCTCTACTTCAGAAAATTGGTGAATCCAGTGCAATAAAATTTCAGACACTTTGATCAAAGCACCTGCTCTCTTTACATATTGGTTTTATGGTTAGGTTTTCAGCCAAAGCCAAACCCCTGACCAAAGCCACACCCCCGACCAAAGCCACACCCCTGAACAAAGTCACAGCCCCTAGCCAAAAGGAAACACCTGACCGACCAATGGTAGTGACAAGTTCAGTGACCTATTAAAGTGAAATTTCTTGGAAGATGCCGGTGGTTCTTTCCCTTACATGGACAGGTCAACCAGAAGTTCACAAGGTAGGGACAGGTAACCCACTTTCCTGTGTCTTCTTTCAAAGTAATGCTTCTAACATTCACAAACACATGCAAAGTTACCTGCAACGGCCAGAACAAGAAATTTGATACCAATCCAACTAAAGACCTTCACTTCCCCGACAGTTTGCTGTTCATATTTCTATCAATAGCAATTTAATTTCTCGGACTCAATGTGCGCTACAGGTCTATAACAGTAAAAAAAATTCTATTTCATTTGGAAATACATGTAGTGTCTGATGAAACTTTAAATTTCTCGGAAAAAGTGGAGAGGAATTCATACAGAGAACATGCCACTATAGAGCAAAAAACATTGATTTATCACCAATTTTCAATCAGTAAACATGAATAGCCGTGCAGGTCGGATGGCCATAAGTCTCTCACGGTATAAGGAATCATATTCAAACCCTTCCTTTCAAGAAGTTCAAAGGTCATCTTCCACCAGGGGGGCTAAAGTCCCCCTGTTCATCCCCTTCCCCACCTATGAAATCTTGCTACTTTGAATGTGCATGACCAATGTACATGTACATGTACGTGTACATGTACAGCAGCTGCCAATAAGCCTTTTGCGAGTTAAGTTTGACCCAAGTTTTTTAAATTCATGTGAACATGGATTGTAACAACTTGAATTCTCCTTACTAAAACCACAGTTGCTATACCTCATGATTTGGGGCAAGCTTTTGCTTAGCTACATAAGAGACGCCTTGCAACAATACACTCTTCTCAATGGATAAGGAGGGCTCAAAGAAACCAGTCCATTCCAGAGAAGGTGGTCGCTATGCAAAAGCTTGCCCCGAATCACGAGGTATAGCAACAGTGTCTTTAGTCTGGGGAATTCAAATTGTTATGTTTATGTGCAGTCCGATAACTCAGTGCGCCAGATTCATTCAAATTTAACTGGCAAATGACTCATTCTGTACATGATTCTGACTGATTACACCTACACATACACTCATGTACACATGAAGACAATGTCCGAAAATTTACCTTATAAAATACTTCAAAAGGCTTTTTAAAGCAGTTTTTTTTTTTTAAAAGCCCTCTGTTTTCATTGTTTCTCAAGCATCACGTTTCCTTAAAGGGCCCATGTGGACCTCCCTGGACTAACTGCTGTTTTCTGCTTTAACTTGTGCTTGACTATGTGCCAGTCACATTACAAATAATGAAAAATGGAATAAACTTCCTTTATTTGTGGCTAACACTGAGCTGTTTTTCAAAATGTCCCCCCTTCAAATGTGTGTTTTAATTGCGACAAATGGCGGCACTGTTTGTGACGCAGGTTTCAGAACCCACAAAGTCGGGCACCATTTCGTCCATTTGAACCCAGAGGAGGGCATACAACTTCCTTCAAGGCGCGGCATAGAAAATAGCGATAACTTTTACTGAGATAAAATCTTTTTTAAACGTATTACCGGTATCTTCCATTCAAACTAATTTTAAAAACGGGCCCTTTAAACATGTCTTGCTTTGGATTAAATTTTTGTCTTGTCACCTCCCCAATATCATGTAACTAGTCTTACAAATTTGGGGGCTTTATTCTAAAGTTAGTCTTTTCTTTAAAAGACTGATGTTTGGATATTAAAAGTGCTTTAGTTGAGCCATACACCAGGCACTATAAACTCCAGTCTCACGATAACAATACTTCTATCACAAAGTATCTATGGTCTAGAGGTACAAAAGACATGTCCAATAGCATTGTGCATTGCTAACACCTTACCGCCAGATATTCCAATGAACTTTTCAAGGACGACCCTTTTGTGGGTACTCAGCCGGTTCTTCCCAGACTGTCATGTGACAATAAAGGTGTCATGTGACAACAAAGTGTTCATCATATCTTTCCACACTCCGGGCCTGGTCAAAAGATGGAGGTCATACATCACAATCCATGCAGCAATTATATTGGCGGCACTAAAATGAGACTACAAAATTATCGGCGGGCGCTAAAATGAAACCACCCAATCTTGTTCCGCTGAAGATGTCTTTCCCTTTGTTATGAAAAAAGAAAGTGTTGGGTTTCATGCACAAAGTTCTGGGACCCTGGTGCCTGGACATTATGCAAATGAACCCCGACACAATAGCCTATTGACAGAGTCTAAGCCAGTTTTTGTACAGAGGAATATATTTTTGCATTTCTCTCGAGGCTCAAGGATAAGCCCGCCATTTCTTTTGCTGCTGTTGGAAATTAGATGAAGGACTGTATGATTTATGTGTTCCGATCCAATGGTATAAATTAGCTTGCTTTTTTTAAAAATGAATTTGTAGTGCTTGGCTTTTGTACATGGAAATATGGACGCAACCAGAAGGCTACAAAAGGAAACATGGCTCTCTGCTTAATCAAATCTGAGGTCCCACTTTGCAGAAATTCCTTTCCAGAAATCTGACGACTATTTGGGCTACGATTTACGATGATTTCCACTACCACAGGCATTTTGGTAGGCTTTCTGAAAATACCCAAGGCGGGAAAAACCTCACTGATGCAAGCAGGCGTGGGAAAAAAGGTTCATTATGGGAGTGGCTGTGTATGTAGACATTTCACAGAAATAAGGTGGAGTTGGAAGTTGAAATTTACTGTTCATTCATACCGGGGGAGGGTACCACAGCAAGAGGAGTTGGTCATGTGTCTGCGTAACTCTTCTTGAACAGAAACTGTTACAGCCACTTCTCAAGTCGATGACCTGAAGGCTCAAGAACAAATCTCTTTTATTTCCTGTCTCCTTTCAAAATCACAACCTTGACTTTCTGAAAAAATTCCACAAGTGCATTTCACAATGCCTCATGGAAATATGACCCAGAGAAAAAAACACACTCCCTGGCTGCCGAATATGTTGAGACGGCGATACATCCTGATCAGCTGATCTGCCAAACCCAGGGATGTCTTCCGCAACGAAACTTTGGCTGTTTGCCTCTTCAGTAAACACAACATTTGTCTTTGGTGCTGACCCAAGTGTCAAACTCTGTTCTATTAGCTACACCTGCACCAACGGCCTCGGTAAAATATGCAGTCTCCTTTTTTTCAGATAAAATACAATACTATGCAACACAACTCAAGGCTTATAAGAGAAGAAATTTACATGTTTTTCAGTTATCTTGGTAATCCATGAAAAATAAAACCTAAAGATTTGGAGAATCAACTAGAGGGAAGTTTACAGTTCCGCTGGGTACAAAAACCAGTTTATAAGAAGTATAAAAGTAAATCTGAACTCAAACCAGATATCACAGATGAGTTTTGCTGAAATACCGGTATGCTGATCCGTAAATAGATCTTGGAACTTTTGTATATTTCCAGCACAAATATTTACCTTGGCGCCACAAACATTACATGTTTCACTTTCAGATAGAGTTCAAACCAGCCCCATTCACTGGTAACAGTGCAAGCATAGCCCTAGAAACACTGGGGATGGGCAATATGAAGGCTGGAACAAAGACTACCGGTGGGAGGCAGTGCATGCATTACATAAGCTCAAACATTCTCAATACATTCTCCTTTCAAATTGTGAAATGGCACATCATATCGAAGGGAAAATGCCTACACAATTTACAGTTTTATTGGCACTAAATTTATTTTTAAGAGTAGATGATGTACAAAAATGGAAAGTGTGTACCCAGGTGAAGTACATGTATTGTGCCTACACGTATACATACATGTATCTGCATGGGATTAAGACATCAAACCTTACCATTTAACTGATGGCAAAAACTGGAGGAAAATTCCTCTAAAATGACTAACAGTACACAAGACAGATCGTTCTAAACACTGACTACGCTGACACAGATGTACAGGTACATGTAAGACAAACTCAGCTTGGGTGGTTTACATCCAGACGATGTTTCGGTAAACACAACGGACACCGTTGGCCTCCATGGTGGCAAGAATGAATGGGCAGAAGTGAATCACAGAGGGGGGAACAAATACGAAATTGCAAGTCACCCGAAATACGTTCTTCTTTCTGAATCTCACTAACGACAGCACTTGAAAGTTGATCTTGTGTTTACCTGAGGACAGTCCTAAAACAATGACATCACTGGGCCACTATTTTTAACCAAGCTTTCATGACACACCGGTACATGCACCCATACAGGTCTACACAAAGGCCTACAGTGTGCATGAACATGAACATAAACACGCACAATGAGCCTGTTCTTTGCTTTATGGCATGTACATGTATGGTTAGACACAATATACATGTACATTGTATTGTCTGGACCCATGATGTTAAAAAAAAACCAGTACTCGCAAACAATGAGAAAGCCAGCACAGCTACCCGTAAATCGTGTCCCGGCTGTCATATGATTCGGTACACTCATTCATCAATTTTCCACGAGTGAAAAGTAACATAATGCTACTTACCTGCTAAACAAATAAAAGTATTTTGACGTCAATTTCAATAGTACTTCAATTTCCTATTTCACAGGTCATGGCTGGGACACATAAATGTCACACTTTTAGACCCTAAATTTATAGAATGACCCTAATGCACTTATATGTAATACTGTACAACTGCATGTTCATGTACAGTAGGTATGCACATTGAAAGTTCAACCTGACCAATTCCTTCCTCAACCTAAAGAATTCTGTTCTGTGGGGAAAATAAACATCACACAACCTCCCTTGTTGAGAGGGAAATAGAATCCAGTCTTTCTGCTTCAGCAACAATGCCTTTATCATTCCTTCAACACTGTTTAAACAGATTACACAACTTTTCTATCACAGAAGGCATGACTGCGAGAAAAAGCAATGACAGTAATCCAATATTCCTTAACGTGATACCAACCTTTTGTAGTTCTGCCAAGGGTGATTCCGTTGACGAGATGGAACGATTCCTCCGATCCTTGACTTTCGGTGAGGAGGTAGGCGTCTGGAAACCGAAGGACAGAGAAACATGTAATTTACAGAGTGATTTCATATTATGGTTGTGTCTCCACGAGGAGCATCAATTATTGTCAAGTTGCTCATTTTACTAAGGTGCCACATCTCCGAGTTACATCTTCCGTCTTCATCTCATGAAGAATGTAGAGGAGGCTGTTGCCCCGATTGGTTTTTAGCGATAGACACATTTTTCAGGATGCAGATAACTGCAGCTGCTTATTTTGTTAGCCGAATAACCCAGCACCAGCATGTACTGAGATAAGAAGAGAATTTGGACCGATGACAAAAGGCTGCATAATGTTTACATTTTCAATGTATACAAGTAGAAAGTTGAACAGGCACAAGATAATTACCCAGGCATTGCAAGTTCATGAATGTGGGCAGGGATGTCAAATCTTGTCTTCCATTTAATTTTCCTTTTTCTGTCTTTTATACTGGTATTGGAAAGGATTTGAGAAGCAAACAAAAACTTTGGTTTTACTCCGGTTATGGCCTGCATGTGGATTCAGAAGTAGAACAAGACTGAAGATGTGCAAAACCAATGGCAGAATAATTCATGCCCAGTGAGAAAAAAGTGTCTTCAACAACGGTAACTTGTGTTCCTGAACTGGATCTCTAAAATGACTTTTTTTTTCCCTCCTTGGGACTCGACTTGCCTCGAGGAAAACTGACCTTTGACTTGACCTCACTTGAAAAAAAAAAGCCTGGTGCCTTAACAACTTTGTAGCTTGGTGAAATCATCACTTTGACTGGGGAAAACTTGACTTGTAGAAAATGGCTCACGACTGGAATTGATTTGACATGTTGCAAAATGACCTGGTTCCAACAATGATGGTAACTTAATACCCCCCCTCCTTAATAGTGTTTTGTTTGATATTTCCTCCCTGTCAGCCATGGCTCTTTTGACCTCAAATACAGAGGGGAAAAACTGTTCAAGCTTTGGTCATGACACACGGGCCTATCCAAAGTTGGTTGAATGGAACATGGAAGAATACATGTACTTTCAGATACACGGACATCATACTCACGAGAGTGTGCGTTCGTCTGATTGCAGACTTGCGAGTTAAGGTTTTCCTACCACTGTCTCTGAAAAAGAAAACAGACAATTAAAAGCCCCTGATGTCAGTTTACCCACAATGCTACAGTCTTCTTCTTTCAGAAGAAAATCAAGATATTTTAAAACACGAATTCAGAGAGTCATTTGAAACTTTCAAATTTTCCTGAGCAACAATGGTCGTCTTTTCTGAGTGGCGATGAAGGCAGTGAGTCTGTTTCTGTTTCTCCCAACTGCCTTCACAGGGCACCGGGATGAGTGGATTTCTTGAAATCTTCACAGGATAGAATTTGATCAAAAACCACTCCACATTGCTGTGCCCTTCACTCATGCGCACAGAATGTACATGTACATACATGTACAGTACACAGACGCCATTATTAAGATACTGTGGAAAGTTAAGTGCAAGACTTTGAGGGGCCTGTACTGAGGGTGGGACTGAGGTTTACACATTTAAACGAAAAAAGTTACAAATCCGTTGACAGATTTTCCCAGACATTTCAATGGAACCGCCCCTTTTACAGGTTTGCCGTTTTGATTGACGCAATCTGCCGGTCGTTTTAATCGGACATGTACCCGGTAAACGATGCCTGTAAAATGTAATCTGATTGTTGGATTACCTGACTGCTCAGTCACATCAAAGGAATACCATGAATTCATCACTGGAACATTGTGTCAATCATGTACACTGTATACAATTTGTTGTGTTTCAAGTTTTCAATGACACCGCGGTAAGGTTGGGACGTTTGTACTTTGAAACATTTTTACGGTATGGGAAGGTTTTCTAAACATTTTTCAAATTACATGTACATGTAAATTCCAACCCTTGGCCTGAAGTTACACGAGTACTGTAACAAACATGTACTTCACAAACTTCTGTGAGGGGCATTCACTTTATAAATGCAGTGCAGATGAGCAGAGAGTTGTTGACCTTTAACTGGAATGGAAATGGAAAGTGAAAACAATTCCCACGCCTGTACCATATCACATGCACATAGACAGAGCAACAAGGTTTGAAGACAGCTTACGGTAGTTTCAATTTCCAGACTGGTGTATTACCGCACTTGGAAAAAAAGAAATGGAACTAAAGTCATTCTACTCCGATCGACATGTTCCCAGTATTGGTACATACATGAAGGATATAAATGGTTGCCATTTTATTTGCAAACTCACACTGTAAATGTGCATTTACAAGTGGAGTACAGCAGAAAAAGAAGCGATTGGTTTACTGGACACTGTTACATATAAAGTTCATCAGAATGGCTCACTGCAGTATTCTATGATCCTGGAAAAAGGAAACTGAACTCAAAAACAGACGTCAAAGTGTTTTGATAAATGTCAGCGAACAGCACTAGCACTAAAAAAAATGGTTTTTAAATATCAAACTTTAATCGAACAAAGGAAGTGAGACTACAAATTACAGACCCCAAAATGAATGCGGGGATTTTCCCCAAACAGCCCCGAAGATCACTATCCACCCACCAAACAAAAAATGCCTGTGTTTTGAATGTTTCCCTACAAATAAATTTGGATGAATGTTGCACATGTATTCAGCACAACAGATCTTACAGAAGAAAAGACAAAACACAAGACAAGACAGCTTAGACAAAACGCCCTGGAAAGCTCTGCAAACTGTGCCAGAAATTTGTTATCAATCGCTTCCACGGAATACGTAACAGTTTCTCCCACTCCAGAGAGAACATTGTACAAACCAAACTTGTAATTTTCACTTTAATACACCAATGTGCAATTTACAAACATGTCCAATGTAGCAATATGCCCACGAGGAACTAGGGCACAGGCGCTGTGAATCATTCCTTCCAGCGTTTGCTGTACGAGCAGTTATTCTACATCTGCTTAGTACAGACAGAAGTGAATAAACACCATATTTTAGGGGAAGTGGTACTGAAAGTACCGGTGTACTTACAATATCCGGTACTGTACAACCAAGTCTTCCAATTCGTATACTAGATGTAATTCCAGTTTCATTTTGAGTACAGCACTCGAAACAAAAAGAGCACTTAAATGTACAACTGAACCGTCATGCAATATTACTACGACTCCAATAACCATTTATCAAAAGACCACGCTTCAATGTGGAGACATGTTTTTCTGATCAAACATTGGCTGTCTGCTTGAACAAATGGTCCATATTTTTTCATAAATCTTAATTACTCGGCAAACACCAGCCGATAAGATAAAACCATCGGACTGATAGCATCCAGGCAACAATAGAGACTGCAATTTGATAGTCTGTTATATACTGGTGAGCTTCTGTTTATGTGGTTCCAAGAATGCATTTCAAGCCATTCTACTTGTAACTAAACCCAAGCTGATCTAGCAGATAGACGGAACTCTTTCAGATCTGTGTAACAAAACTGTGTTCCTCATTTGATTGAGTTATTAAGGTACCCACAGTGTACATGTACGCATGTTTTTTTTAACTCTCGATCTTCAAATTGTTTTGCAAATCAACAAAGCTTGCCAAAAGCTGATCTGATTACAGACTCACATGGGAAATAGGGTGCACTGGATTACAAGACAGCCTGGATGCATCATTTCTGAAGGAGAGCTACCTTAGTACAAAGGATTACCCTCTTTATCAAGCCACATTATCTTGGATCCCACAACAGGGCTCCTCAACAATCAGCCATGATATGGCAAGGATCAATGTCTTAATTTGCAATAAACATTACTGATGTGGCATTTCATTGAAAAGTTGTTGCAATCAAGGGCTGAGCTGTCACTAAAGTTTGCTAACAACCAAGGTATGGTAGATGAAGACAGGCAATGCGATAGGGATTACAATCACTTGGACTCATTCAAAGTTTATCTTTTCCAGTTAATACCCCTGACACTGTGCAGTATATCAAATGGAAATTACCCTGAGATCCAAGTACCAGAAATGTACATTAAATGGTTCAAGGTGTATATTTGAACAGTTGGCATATGAAATGTTATCTTCAATGTACATTAACTCAGCACTGTGAATATGTGATCACAAGCACATCTGTTCTCAGCAGAAGGTATAGCATTGTGAGGTCATCTTAAGAAAGAAGTACAAGAACAGAATGTCTGATGTTGCTGAGTTACTTTTCTGGAAGTCGAGTCAGTCACATGCTCTTTTCGTCACAGGTCAATTTTCTACACATCACATCAGTCACAAGTCATTTTTCTACAAATCAAGTTATCAGGTACCAGGTACATAGTCACAAGTCATTTTTCTAAAAGTCAGGTTTGTCACGGGTCATTTTTTTTTCCACAAGTCAGGTCAGTCACAAGTCATTTTTCCACACATCAAGTTTGTCACCAGTCATTTTTCCATACACGTCAAATTTCCTTATGAAAATACGACTTGATGCCAACTCAAAGCCAAGTTTGCAAGCCAACAGCAGTACGTTGCCCTTGTCTGTCTCCCACACTACTGGTATGCATGTATGTGCTTGTTGTACAGTTCCAGTTCCTTCCAAACCCATCAAGAGATTTTGGAGGATTTTGAAGGATTAGGGAATGTACCAGTACAACAAATGTAAAATGTATGCCTACAGTGGAGGATTTTCCAGGATTGAGGAATGTACTGTGCCGGTCAGTAAGGTCCAGCCACTGTCCAGCCACTGTTACACATGAAAGGCTTGATACTCCTTAAAAGTCAACTTTTTTAGAACAAAGAATGTGTCATTTTTCCTACAGGTACATGTACCGGTTCACAGATTTGGAAGAATTGAGGATGGTTTCTGGCCAAAATCATAAGGAATTAAATTAAAATAGAGTTCTTTGCACAGAGAAGGCAAACATTGGATACAAAATGGTAACAACTTGAACATACACCTTTTATGCATGTATTACATGTCTAATTTACTTTCAAGCCTTTAAATGTACACATATACTTGTTAAGCATTTCAAATACAGTAAGTTACCGGTACATGTACCCGGTACCCAGTACATGTAATG